GAAGCTAAGTAAGACTTATCAAAAGATCAATTATTCTCACTGAATTCATTAACTACTCAATGTGAAGAGAGGAAATCTTTTTGACTGTAGAACAGTCTGAAATCAATGATATTCTTAAAGATAATAATCTTGATAAGAATGTTATCATGAACATGCAATGTTTCTGAAAAGAACACAATCTTTGATTATACAATTATATATGATCTGTAATTGCTCTGCAGATCAAGACTTATTTCACTATACTTAAGAAGTTCAAATTATCAGCTTATACTCTATGAACTATTATAGAGAATAACTTTTCTGAGAGACCTGCTGTACACAGAACTCATTTGTTTAAAGAGCTTATTGAAATGATCTTTAAAAGTAAAGAATCTGACAGAGCTTTTATTGAATGATTAATTATTATCAGAACTGATTATATCTGTCTGAGATATAAGATTGAAGATGTCATATTTTTTGATAGATTACTGATAGAAGTCAATAGAGGTTGAGCATTCTTCATAAAGAATAGAATGAATCAGATTGATAAGAACAATTCAAGATCTTTAGAAGAAGACTTTATAGAGTTATACTATGACATACTTCTACATCTTTCTACTGTGGAAAATAGTAGTACTGAATCCATGAAAAATCTCATGAATAACGCTCAAGACAAGAATAAGAAAGACAAGGACACTGAATTCAAACCTGAATGTAGAGGTAATGATGCAAAGACCTGCTATCATTGTTAAAAGATTAATCATATTCAGACTAACTGTTGAAAGAAATACTCTGAGAAATGTTCTTTGAATTCAAATTTTAACATCAATAGAAATAAGAATAAAGACAAGAATGCAGAGAATACAGGTGCTGCTCCTGTTCACAATGTCATGAAGTAAGTATTTTGTATCAAAGAAAAGACCTATGTGAGTGACTAGACAGGAAAAGATACCTGAATTCTAGACTCTGAATCAGACACTCATGTCACATCTCACAGAGATCTTATCATAGCAAAGTCTCAGAAGATGAAAGTGATGTTGAAAATGATAGACAGAATAATAGTCTCTGCTGCAGCTATAGAAGATATGAAGATTTCAGTGAAAGAAATGAATATACTGTTAAATAATATCTGCTATATTCTGAAGTTAGAAGTGAATCTCATGAGTATGAGTAAGCTTATACATCAGGGTTATACCTATAAGCAGTTAATATATGAGAATAATCATGCTATGTTGATTATGTCTTCTGACTGCATGTTCTCATTTATAGCAAGATTAAATGAGAATAATATCTATGAGATGAAAAGGCTAGTTATATACAGAGACTTGATTCAGTTTGCTATACTCAATGATGATTTTAAACCTGTGAACATATTACAGATGAAAGATGATACAATATTAACACTATCTGAAAGAAATGACACAAAGATTATAGAACTTATAATAATGCAATGACATTAAAAGCTAGAACATCTGAATTTCATGAATATTGTAAAAATGATGACAGATTCACATCTAGAGATGAGAATTATTAATCAATGAGCTTTATCATTCTATAAAGTCTGTGTTCAGATAAAAATGACATATTCAATCTTCACATCTATAACATAAGCTGTTAAGCTGATAATGAGATTCTTCATTGATCTGACAGAGAGTGAAAAAACACTTTTTAACAGAAATGACACTTTCACTAGAGAGAGTGCAAGCTACTGATTGAGTATAATGAATGATACAATCTGTTATAGATGAACAATTCTTATGATGAAAAAGAGAGAATCTACTGCAAGATTAATAAATTTCATCACAGATATTAAGATAACTACATAATATCAAGTTGAAACTCTACACTGAGATGATGAAGAAGAGTTCAAAAGTCAAGAACTTAAGACCTACTGTCAGAGTAAAGAAATAATGTATGAAATGACTACATCTGATATATCACAATCAAATGACTCAGTGAAACATGTGAATTGAATAGTTATAGAAAAGACATGAAGCCTACTATTTAATAGTGAATTAGAAAGAGAACTTTGAGATGAAGTAATACAAGCTGCAATCATGATGATCAACACATTTTCAACATCAATAAAGATATTTAAATGTAAGAAAGAAACATCACTTATATCTTTTAAAGCATGAACTGAAGTGCAATCTTCTGTTCATTGAATATGAAGATGAGAGTGCAAGGTCTACAAGAAGGATTTGAAAGTGTTAAATAAGCTTATGAATAGAACTGACAGTAAGAAATGACAGCTGATTAAATATCAAGAATTACATTAATATCATGTGTGAGATTCTGTTGCACATTGTCTTGAGATTGCATGAGATATCATATTTGATGAAGCTCTTGACATGAGTGTAAACACATCTGTAAATACAGTAAGAGAATTCAATGAATTGTCTAATGAATTGAATATTCTGAATGCTAGAGAGAGATAATAACACTGCCTTCTAAGAAGATTAGTGAAGAAAAAGTCAGATGTTTTAAAGATAATTATCAATGAGAACTTAAAGAATGTAATTGATTCAATCTATCTTCTAGATAATAAGACACAGCTTATCATGAATAAAGAGTCTGAAGATCTTATTAATGAGAATGATTCTATTCTAAGTATTCTGACAGATTGATTAACTACTCTAATAAAAGTCAAGAGAAGCTCAGACTGAAACTATTGACATAAGACAATGAAAAAGAAGATTAAGATATTTGAATAGAAGAAGATATATATTATTGTTAAGAAGACTCTGAAAATGAATATTCTTACAGATAAATAAGTATATAATTGAAAATTCAATAATAAGAGAGAAATCATCTGCTTTAGAGCTTGCTGAGTAATTAGAGAGTTCTTACAACAGTAGAATATTTATTATATAAGATTATATACTGCAGTGATATCAGAGTCTACATCATGCAGTCTATTTACTATATTGACTGTCAAAGCATGAAAGATCAAATTAATTGACTATGTATCTGTGTTTTTAAATGACATACTATCACAGAATGAGATGATCTATATACAACTGCTCACAGATGTAAAGTATAACAGAGAGAGCTTGATGAAACTACTCTGTCAGAGTCTATATGAAATGAAGCAAGCTGTAAGAGTATGGTATTTTCTAGCAACAGAATATCTCATCACATTGAGATTCAAGATATCATCTTATAATGATGAATTTCTATATCACTCTGTTTACAAGATCTATCTGATATTGCATGTTAATGATTATCAGATGACAGAATCTCAAGAACAGTAATTAGACTGAGTATTGAGAGAGATTATAAAGAGATTTGAGACAAAGAATGTTAAAGAGATCAAGTCATATCTTGAAATGAAGATTAAATGCTAGAGAAATAATGATCTAGTGATTACACAGAGCTGTTATATTGAGAAGATTCTTGAAGATTTCAGTATAAATAAGGTGAATCCTGCAGAGACCTCAATGATGATGAGTATACAACTGAAGTTTTCACCTGATGAGAATGATGAATTGAATGATGACTTTACAGCTACAAGATATTGTTAAGAATTGAGATCATTACAGTATTTGATCTCAAGCAGCTGGCCAGATCTGGCATTCATGATTAACTATCTCTCATGTTTTAACTCACATCTGCACAAGGCATGTTGGACAGTGTTGAAGCATGTTCTATATTATGTCAAGAAGACAAAAAACCATAGCATATTATACAGAAAGAAGATTAATGATGTGAGTCTGAGTTCTGTGACATACTGTGATTTGAACTGAGCAGGGGCAGATTCTCAATACAAATCAACTACTGACTATGTTATATTGATTAATGAGTCACTGATCTCATAGCAGTTGCAGAGACAGACATCTATTATCAAATCAATCACAGAAGCTGAATATATTGCAGCTAGTGAGACAGCTTGTGAGATAATCTGATTGAATGATATGTTATATGATGCTGAGTTGATGAATGATGGAAAAGTGAAAATATGCTTACATCTATGAGTTGACAATAAGAGAGCAATTGATCTAGCAAAGAGAGAATTCTTAACATGAAGATTGTGTCACATTGAGATCAGATATCATATTCTCTGTGATTTGATTGAAAAAGGGGAAATCATGATGAAACATGTTGATTCTATAGCAAACATAGCTGATGAGCTCACCAAGCCACTGGTGAAGCCTGTGTTTGAAGATTTTGTCAAAAGGATTGGTTTGAAAGAGATCAGAAAGGAATGATTGAATGATAATAATAATACAGTGAATCAATGAATTTTGCATGTATTTCTTGATTTTTACAGTTATTGCCGTACGGACGCCTTTCCTAATGAGGAAATCAGGGTCTGATTCATGTAATTAATTATTATTGCATTTTTGAAAGATTTGAGGATGAGGGAGGCCCCGGGTGGCGGCTTATTATAGGCCACGGTGTAGCAAGGGGGGGTGTTGGTGATTACTACACCTACCCTAGTCACGTGCCACCCCAACCTATCCATTTAGTGTAACTCGCGTAGTTAGATTACAACACAACAACGTTATCCTCCAAGATTAGCGAGGTCAAGTTTTCTGCTTCCTGTCACTACCTACGGCTTGACATAAGACACACGATTACTAATTAGGGACGATTTGGTGGCCACTACTTATGTCGACACTCAAGACCCTTGCCGACTCAATTGTCGATAACCATCCGCTCTACGAACGGCCTTGGTACATTAGCTGCAGCCGTATCACATCCGATACAATTATCTGCTCAATATATTATATGTATTAGTTATATAGATGATAGCTACCACCCGTGATATATATTGGCTTGTACCGTCTGCAGAAGATGTAGACCAAATATATCAGCCCAGGTCTCGCTCGAAACCGTCGTGAACCATGATATAATACTTTCCATAAGCAAGTCATCGGCTAAAATGTTGTCTTCGATGACTTCCGTGACCACACAGCGTCTAAGCCCAGTCAATAGCACACATCGAATCATTTAATTTAAAGAGGTTTCAGTATTTAAAGACTCATTGCCAGCTCCTCGCATGTAGAAGCAAAATATTTCTATACACTCTCCGAGATTGCGGCCCCAGAAATCCTAATTCCAGGAAAGAAAAAGAGGGCATTAGCAGACTATTCAAATAAAAGCCAAGGGGACAAGAACACTTACAAAAAAGTGCCGTTGGAAGGTTTGCTAATAACCATAGCCACTTCCAACTTCTCCGGAGTGATATCCGGAAACTTCTTATAATAGTACTCCTTCTTTAATGCCTCCGTCACGTCGGCAACCTTATCCTGCGGGACCATATGCACTGTACATCCACCCCAACCGGCGCCTGTCACCCGGCTTCCTAGAGCACCAGCCCGAAGCGCAATTTCACAAATATCATCCACCTCGGGGCAAGTGCAATCGTACAGGTATCGGCAAGATGCCATTGACTCGTTCAGCAACTGGCCTAGGTACTTCACATTATGCTCATCCAGATGGCCCTGGTGCTGAGAGCGAGTGAGGCATGATTTGAAGTCCAGGACACGTCTTGCTTCTTTAAAGCAGTGTAGCGCACGTTGACGCAGGAGAAAGCGTTCCGCTTGCACGGGGAACATAGAGAGGAATTGCTTCTCGAGGTCGGGAACAGATATGCCTAACAAAGCAGCGACATCCTCGCGCGTATAGCCTTCTTCCTTGGTCAGCAAATCTGTGACTGCCATGATGACGGAGTCGAGTTGGTATTCCAGCGGGTCTTGAAGACGGCCTTCCTTGCGCATGAGTTCCTCGTGGAAGCTACGCAGGCTGTAGCCTAGTGAGCTGGAATCTTTAGGGAGGGCGAGGTTGTGCATCCTGGCAAGAACGACCGTGGCTAGAGTACATTCTGCGACACGCAAGTTGTAGTGTCGAGGTGCTGTTTCGGCTTTGTTGGATGTGACAAAGCTCTGAGCCATGAGGAATGTTATTTCTGGCTCCGCTTTGGGGATGGGGACGTGTTGGATATGGAAGGAGGGGAAGAAGCGGACGTAGAGGAGATAGCCGCGGCGGGAAAATATGGATGCCGCTTGGTCCATTCTGCGATTATGGTCAGATATGAGCTACCTGGTTTGATGCGCGACAAACTTACCCTCCAGAATATACTCCAACGGCACGCTCTGAAACAATAGCTATATCCTGCAGCTCCTGCTTCGAGATATCGTAACCATTTGCCTTTACTCCGGCCAGTGCACTTGAACAGACGAATGCCGCGCTGCTAGATATTCCTCCGCCAGGGGGTACATTGCCATCCACCATCACCTCAAAACTAACGGGAGCAAAGTCCCCATCTTGATTCTTCTCTCTTAAGAGTTTCAATGCCACCCGCAGCCCAGCTTTGAAATAGTTTATCCACTCATGTTTGGCGCTGTCTATTTCCAGATCTCTATCCCTAGGGATAGAGAATTGACCCGGAGGGAACTTGGTATCGTTGGTGTTGGCCACTTTCGCCCAAGATTCCTGCGTTGTCTCTGCCGGGTGAATCTTGACAGCAATCAAGACATCGACACTGACGGCGGTTGGTAAGACATCGTAGAGGGAGTAGTCGATATGCTCGCCAATGATGTTGACTCTGCCAGGGCTCCGCGCGACGAAGTCCGGTGACGCACCGTAGAGGCTCTTGAATTGGGCAATGAAATTGCTCCAGCGGAGTTTCTGGTCGGAAGATATGCTGACTCCGCCAGCTGGGTCGGTCGAGTAAACGTCTGCGATAGATTCTGTTTGCGGGACAAGCTCATCGGGAGGATTCATTGCGACATTCGGCGCAGTTGTCGAGCGGGGCAGCTTCAAGATCCACCACGTGCAACTCGAGCACACCCTGGTGGGTGCTTTTCTTAACTATAGCTAAAAACGTTAAAAGACAACTGGCAATACTAAATCAGTAAATGGCCGAAATACCAAAGAGTTAGATCGATTTGTTCTAACTATCTGACTCGCGTATATGGTAAGATGACGGAATTGATCCATGGACAGACCACCAGCGCTAAATGGGCATTGAAGGTTGCATCGTGAGGTCACACCTTCCTAAAAGAAGACAAGCACGTGATCGACATCGCGGGCCACGGCTTGCCCAAAGTGTGCAGAAGAAGCGAGCGACGACCGACGCTTGTTTTTGGATTTGCGTATGGGTAGGGTAGTACAATCTGGCTGAAATAGAATTTAATCCAAAAATCTGGAAAATGGAAAAAACCAGAGAAAAAAAAAAAGAAAGACAAAGAAAAGGAGGAAGAAAGAACACATCAGAAAAGGCCCGAGAAAAGTTTCCCGAAAATTGTCTTTCCGAAAAAAAAAAAAAAATAATAATAATTTGGGTGGTGATATCATGGCAGATAACAATAGGCGGTGCGGCTGCAACTGCAACAATGAACAATGATAAAGTCGAAAGGAACAATAGCAAGGTCGAAATTTTGGCGAAATAAAAATGGAACCATGTACCGCGCCGTGCCAATGTCCAGGAAAAACACCCAAGCAGCGTAGGACCCGCCCCTCCAAAATCGAGACGAAAAACAAAATAAATAAATAATCGTAAAGCTAGAGAGGATAGATAATAAATAAAAAAGAACGCGGCGGGGCTGAATATATTGAACAGAAATTCGAAAGGTTTTATCTTGGATTTTTAAGGTGTGATCATTGATCATTTTCATTTATTTCTGCCCTGAGATGGTCAAGAGAGCGGCTTTTGCGCAAATACACGGTGGCTGCAGCTGACGGTTAGCTTTTTGAATATTTGTTGTGTCTAATGTTATTAAAGATTGCCTCTTACACAGTGGTGTATATATGGTAATCCATATTTTTCAGATCGTTTCTTGCCCCGGCAAGCAGGGCCTGTATCATGATGTTGTCCCAGTTCAGCACCTTCGTAAAGAGAGCCAGGGCATATGGCTCCAGAGACTCCGACATGGCCATCTGCATATAATTCCCGAGCCGTTTCATCTTCCTGTCTGATGACCAAGGCGATAAAGGTATTTTCCGGTTGTCCTCTCCAATGTTCGTGAAGCCAGCTTCTCGTACAAAATCCTTAAACTTGGAGGCCACATTGACCGGCTTGCCGAATAATTCAGACGCTTCTCCCAAGAGAGTCTGGAACTGATTATAAGCAGATGATTCGGGAAGGCTGTTGTCGTCAGTCGAAGCCCATGCATCGAATTCAGCGAGCTCTATCCAGCCTCCCGGTGCCAGGTTATCAAATGCCTGCTTTAACAACCGCGGCCAATTTGCTATCGCTCCGCCCATTCCCCGAACATGAATAAACTCGAACGGTTGGGTGTACTGCCAATCTTCCTCGGCATCATCGACTTCGAACTGCAGATTTTCCGGGATATAGCCGGGTTGTATCGCTGAGAGATCAGATCCGATGACTTTGGCTGTGGGGTGCGCATCAGCAAAATCTATCGCCCACTAATTCCCCAGTCGCAAAAGAATTAGCTACTACACAAATCCAGACGTTGATAGAGGAAGATAAAGGCAACATCATCTACTCACTATTCCGGTACCACATCCGATGTCGAGGGTGCGCCCAACAGTCTTTGGGATGGGGGCACGATAGAGCTCGCCATCATAACTGAGGAGGAACAGGTGGTGCATCAAATCCAAGCGTTCCTGTTCTTCCTCGTCGTTTGGCATAAAATATTCACCTGCATGGTAAGCATGGTATCTTCGATGGCCGAAATATCTGTAGAAATCATGAGTATTAAGAGGTTCAGCTGCGTATATGGAAACGACCAGTGGCTAACGGGAAGGTAGAGAGGCAACTAACTCGTAATTGCGGATGCTCGAAGTGAGGGAAAATGTTTCATCCTCGTCCATGGATGCAAATTTCAAGGCCAGATGGATTAGATAGTGTCAGTCAACTATTAATAAACTATATCAAGATATAATAATCATGGGTTTCAAGTTTGTTGTGCAGAAGCGGTTTTGCTTGTGTTTTCCCGGGAGAGTGGTTGATACCAAGGGAGCGGTTTCCCCATGCTCCTCGCAGGAGACATTACAGGCACGCAATTTGAACTGGCTACTGCTAGTAGGGAATAGGAGGCCGGAATAAAATTGCCACGCACTTCTGCCGGCTCCTCGACGTTGGGTACGGATGCCGAGGTGGGGACTGGGACTGCTCGCCCGTGTGCGAAGACAAAGAAAGTGCGAGATGGGACCAGTGACGGCTTCTGCACGTGACATAAACATTGTGGCTCATTGTTTCCCTTTCGAGAAGCAGGCAGCACAAAGGAGGCGGTCTGGCATTGGGATTCGAGATATTTTGGAGGAGACTGAACCCCCCGGCGTCACCCCCCGGACAAACTCAGCCTCCAGAGAGGGAAAAAAGCACTGCAAGTGGCAGAAAAGTGATCAACTTTAATATTGTTCTCAAGACTGTTGGTGGGCTCGGGGGGCAGTAATTTTGGGGAGAGATCAGCGAATCCCGGCGTGATGGAAAACAATAGCCGTGGCAATTGTGAGATCCCTGGATTCCAGTATAATAATTGTGCTGGAGGGAAGCAGGGCCCCCCTTCACACCGTTCCGCGCTGGTGGCTACGAGTCGGAGACCGCTAGTAAACTCTCTTAGCTTGGAGAGGAGTCAAGCCAACACGAGGGGACCCGCGCACGAATCGGCAGCACGCTGGCTCCGGCCGCTGCTTGGCAGCAAGGTTTGAAATGATACATTATCCAAGCGTCGGGTCCAACTGATTATTATTCTGGGCACTTCTCGCAGCGTACGGAGTATACGCTGTAGAACTGGGACAGGCAAACATCGCCAACGGACAGCAGCTTTAGCGCAGAGTATGGAGAAGAAGCAGAAAGCGAAAAGGTTGGCCCGTAATGTTGGGCCTTGAGCCTCGAACACGGACCAGATTAGGCCCGGCCTCATTGGTGTGAAGCCGCTCCACGCTACCCGGAGCCTGGAAACGCCCCGAACGGATGCCATGGGGACGGTTCTCTTGCAGAACAAGAATATGGCAATTCACGGTACTGGATTTTAGGTCTTCTGCTTCTTCTTCTTGTGGTTGCTCCCGTCCCCTCTTCCCCCTTCCTCCGTGCCAATCTCGGATGATCCGTCATGGACTCCTAGTTTGTGTGGAACAACTCTGTCTCCCTGGGGCCTGCAAATACTTGTACTGGAATTATTTGAGAAATAACGTTTACCCTTGTATGTCCGCCGCAGTCCGCGCCCCAAGTGGATCCTCAATGCTCTCTCCACTGGCAACCATGACATCCTCGGCTACAAACAGGACCCTCTCAAAAGTCACGGACACACACACACACACGCCCCCCGTGCGCACTCTAACGAGACATTCTAGGAAGGTCGTTCAGCTATCAAAGGTCAGTCTGTTGGCCTAACAATGCACGTTGACCACTCCCATAAAGCCGCCCTCGCCGGTACATACTAGGACTACCTAATAATCTATAGTTCTACGTTAGATCCAGAGTTTATGCGAAGACCAATGACCGTTATAAGGATGGCGGGAACGAATCTGGTGTTCTTATTATTATTCTTCGAATTTCGAATAATACAATTCACCTGGGAGAATAATGCGAGACAGAACCTGAGAGATCCATTTACCCGTTTCATAAATGATTAATAGTTAATTGGTAAAGCCCGAAGCCGACGTCGTCTCGCAAGAAAATCCAACCGGAAGCATTCCAGACCAAAGGTTGGGTTGGATGGATTATTGGAACCAAAGAACCCATGTTCAATCAAACAAAACTACGCTGAAAGGTTAATCCGGACAATATACTTTGTAGTTTGACGCTTGTTGGACTGTTGATTCTTGAAGTGGGAAGAATCATAACCCAGGTCGGCTCAACAACGACTTCCCACAGGCTACAGCTCTAGTGCTCCGCTTGTAAGTTGTAAGTTGTAAGTTGTAACAAGACATCAGAGAAGGATGCAACGAAGGTTGGCCCATGTGGGTACAAATGCGACCACCGGCCATGTCCAAATTTTAACGCTATCGGTCGCAGCGCGGAGACCAGGGTGCGCCCGCCATTGGCCGATTTGACACCCTAAACGACATGCGCACTACTGCATCCTGCGTGTGGATAAAAAACCATCGCGCCCTTGTCCATGGAGCATATTATTGCATGCAGCTATCTCAGGGATGCAACTTCCCTGAGGCGACTCGAACTCAGAAAACGCATTCACACAAATGTCTTATCGAAAAGTACGGATTATTCTGACTGGAACCGGTAGCGCATGAGCTAAAAGGGTCGTTTCTCTTGCATTGATGAGGGGAATGACTGAGGTTACTCCAAAAGGACATTGTTCCCGTTTGTCCCGAGATCTCATCGTGAGTCGAAAACCGGCTGAGGAACAATCCTTACGCTACATCCATTATCCTGCTACCCCGTGCGTATTGTTACTGAGGTATCTCTGGCGCTGTTGATCAGATACTCAGGAATTTCCTCCCTCCTGAACAGCTCCTGCAGCGTTACTTTCGGGCCGGCTCCCTTGCTTCATGCCGCGTCTCCCGCAAGCTTGCTTAGAGCTCCGCAGTTATAAGCTTCGCGGCAATTCTGTCCCTCAAGTCCCCGCTTAGTCTACGTCGTCGTTAGCAGAATTAGTCAATCCAAAACACAGCTTTATGATGATAAAGCCCCTTGTGAAAGTGACGTGGCTCCAACATTGACACCCCGACGAAGCATTCCCCGATCCAGCTGCAGGTTCGGGGTCTTCCTTTGTCATATGCTCAGGAGACACCCCCATTTAGATCGTTTTCCGCTCGGTGAGTGCTTGGTCTCTGTCCTTGCCCCGCATCCGTTCAAGTGGCCACTGGCCAAGTCCCCAGCGATCGCTCAAAACCCACTAGAAATGAGCAATTATCAATACGTGGCCAGAATTGATTGACTTTTGAAAATGATATTTCAACGTCAAGGCTTATGCATGGCCATCTAACGAGGATATGGGGAGGGGGGAGGGGAGGGGTAGGGTAGGGGTAGGGGTTGGGAAGAACGGAGACAAGCTAGAGTCAGACTGCTGCTAGGCTCAGATGTTGTAAATATATAGGACGGAGGTGACCCTCTCAGGACGGGACGACCCTTTTTATATCATGACCGTTAGCTATCCGCGGATAGGGGCGCGAATTCCCCACTATTGTTGACGAGACACGGGATCTACGAGCATCGAGTTTCCAGCAGAAAGCATCCGTCCCGAACACTGAACGACCGTTCAGCCTCACCTTTCTATTTTTAGAGCGTTATATGTCCGTCATGGGTGATCATAATAATATGACCCCATTGGCCATCGTCGGGCTTTCAGCACGCTACGCGCAGGAAGCGAGTACTCCTGAGAAGTTTTGGGAATTTTTACTCAGAGGACGTCAATCAACCACTCCGATCCCAAAAGACCGATTCAATGCGGACGCATATTATCACCCTGATCTTGATCATGGCGGAACAGTTCGTCTCCTATTTTAAAATAAAACCAAAAATAAAAAAGTCTTGTCATGCAAACGTTGGTGTCATGCTGCTAACTGTTCTCTGCAGTTTCATGTCAAGGGTGGCCACTTCTTGTCGGAGAACCCTTTGGGTTTTGATGCTGGATTCTTCCGAATCAGCCAAACAGAAGTCCTGACGATGGATCCTCAGCAACGACTTGTGATGGAAAATGTGTACCACGCTCTTGAGAATGGTAAGACGACGATAGACCCATCAGATGCATCTTTAATGTTAATAAAAAAAATTCTGACTTGCCGTTGAACTCAACAGCTGGAATTCCTCTGGATCAGGCAATATCCTCCAAGACTGCTGTTTTTGCCGCTGGGTTCAACCATGACCACAGGAATCTTCTAAATATGGATATTGAAACGTCTTTAAAGCACAAGTCAACTGGTTCAGAGCAGTCCATCATTTCAAACCGGGTCAGCTGGTTTTATGACTTTCACGGACCTAGCGTTACAATTGATACCGCATGCTCCAGCGGTCTTGTTTCCCTTCACTTGGCTGCCCAGAGCTTGAAATCTGGCGACAGTGAAATGGTACTCCCCTCAATCTCTTCGCTTGTCCACACTTCTTTTTGAGTTGTGCTAAGAATCTTCTCCAGGCTGTTGTGACTGGTGGAAGTGTCATTAGCCACGTTGGAGACATTATCGCATTTAGCCATTCTGGTGTCCTTGGCGCATCAGGTAAATGTTTCACTTTCGATCACAGAGCTGAAGGGTATGCTCGAGGAGAAGGGGTAGGAACTGTCATTGTCAAGAGACTATCGGATGCCCTCAGAGATGGAAATACGATACGAGCAGTCATTCGCGGAACCCTCGTAAACCAGGACGGGCGTACACCGGGTATTTCCCTTCCAAGCGCTCAGGCACAGGAAGCTCTTATTCGCCATCTATATAGCAACGCGAAATTAGATCCCAGGGACACAATGTTCGTCGAAGCACACGGAACTGGCACGCCGGTGGGAGACCCCATCGAGACTAGAGCTATTACTAGCGCATTTGGTTCGGAACACCGCAAAGAGCCGCTCTATGTTGGCGCTTTGAAGGCAAGTATTGGACATCTTGAAGGCGGTGCGGGCATTGCGGGTGTCATCAAGTCGGTTATGATTCTGGAAGCTGGCATCATCACTCCAAATGCCAATTTCGAGAAAGTCAATCCGAATATCCCTAAGGATGAGTGGAATCTTGAGTTTCCTACAGAATGTATACCTTGGCCCAAAGCAGGAGCGCGTCGCATATCCGTGAACTCTTTTGGATTCGGTGGAACTAATGCACACTGTATTTTGGATGATGCATACCATTTCTTGCAGGAGCAAGGCTTGAACGGAATCCACAGGACTCGCATACAGGTGCCAACTAAGCTTGAAATCAACCAAACTCTTACCTCCCTGAACAAGCTTTACGGGGAACTGCAAGAACTTACCAACGGAAATAGGGAGCTAACTCATGGAGATACTATCAATGGCACGAATGGGGAGAATGAGAATGGAAGCAATGGTAAAATGCTGAATGGAGTCAATGGTAACGCTGTGAATGGGACCAACGGGGAGCCTGCGAATGAGACCAATGGAGAGAATACGGTCGGAACAAATAATGAGACCATGAATGGGATCAATGGAGAATCTGTGGATCGGACTAATGGGGAGCCCGTGAGTGAGATTAATGGAGAGAATACGATTGGGCCGAAAAATGAGACCGTGAATGGGATCAATGGAGAGGCTGTTAATGACACGAATGGGGAGACTGTGAACGGCTCACACGAAGTTCCGAACTCCTTGTCTAGTGGTGAGACAAAAGCTCCCCGACTGTTTATCTTGTCCGCATTCGACAAGGAAGGTGTAAAGAGAACTGCGACGGATTTGAGGAATTACCTTGCAACCAAAACTTCATTGCTATCGAATGATGCAGCGGAGTTTCTCAGTGACCTAGCATACACGCTGTCCCAAAGGAGATCAGATTTCCGATGGAAAAGCCATGTCGTCGCAGACTCGATTCCAGAGCTTGAAGAAAGTTTATCCACTGTTAAAGCTCGACCCAAACCCGCGAACACGGATCGTCCGCCTAGAATCGGGTTCGTCTTCACTGGCCAGGGTGCCCAGTACTGTAGAATGGGGAAGCAATTCATGATATACCCAGTATTTCGAAAAAGCTTGGAAGATGCGACGCAATACATGAAGGCGGTTGGAAGCCCATGGTCGCTAATAGGTAAGTATTTTGTTCCTACCATACATAATCTTAAATTTATTATACTAATTTTTACATCAGACGAACTTCTTCGCGAACAGGAGACCTCTAAAATTCATAATCCTGCAATTGCCCACCCTGCATCAACCTCTATCCAAGTTGCTATTGTGGAACTTCTAGCTTCCTGGAACATATATCCTGCTCGCGTTGTTGGCCACTCCTCGGGCGAAATTGCTGCTGCGTATTGCGCTGGTAAAATATCTCGGGAGTCCGCATGGGGAGCCGCCTACTACCGCGGGTTTGTCTCTGCAAAGGAACAAGGTGTCAAGGGATCTATGATTGCTGTTGGCTTAAGTCAGGAAAATCTGCAGGAATATTTGGACAAAGTACATACAGCTCACAAAGGAGAGTTAGTGGTTGCGTGTTACAATAGTCCAAGAAACAATACCGTCTCGGGCGACGAAGTGATGATCGACGCACTAAAGGAGTTACTTGATGCAGAAGATATTTTCGCTCGAAAACTGAAAGTCCAAAATGCCTACCATTCCTCCCATATGCAGAAACTTGCTGAAGACTATCTGGAACTGATGGGCTCGCCCCCTGCTGGACAGCTTTTCGATTCTAATCATGATATCCAGATGTTCTCCACAATTTCAGGAAAGAGGGTCAAAGATGTTGAACTTACCACTCAGTATTGGGCCGACAATATGGTTTCACCTGTCCGGTTCACGGATGGCTTGCGTTCTATGATCTTCCATCCCGATGACAGCGATCTCGAGTCCGACCAATTCGACAAAACCTGGATAGACGAAATCATTGAAGTGGGCCCTCACTCCGCATTGCAGAGCGCGATTAAGCAGACAATCGCTGCCACTGCCTCCGCGCCTCCAATTTCATATATGTCGCTGCTTAATCGTCAAGACTCTACTCTCCGTACAATGATGGATGCTGTTGGGAGCCTAAACGGCAAGGCAGCCCCAGTCAATATCTATGAAGTCAATCATGGCTTCGCAGGACAAGAGGGAAATATGCGGACCCCGCAGATCCTTGTCTGGCTGCCTCCCTACTCCTTCAACCATGACGAGAGAGGCTACTACGAGAGTAGACTAAGCAAAAAGATACGTTACCGAGAATTTCCACGGCATCAACTCTTCGGTGCGCCCGTCCAGGACTGGAACCGGCAGAATCGTAAATGGCGGCATTTCCTCAGAACTTACGAAAATCCTTGGCTAAAGGAGCACATGGTACATACACTCAGTCCACCGGCGATATATGCATGGTTTACAATGCTAATTTCGTCATTCTAGGTCACTGGGCGTTGTGTCCTTCCCGCATCTGCATATTTGACCATGGTGACTGAGGCGGTAAGGCAAGTCACAGGTGATGCAGTCAAACTAACTGGAATAAGACTAAAAAACGTGTCCATCAAGTCCGCCCTTGTTGTTCCCGATACAAGAGAGGGCGTGGAAGTGTCCTTGTCCATTCACCCCGTGAACGAATCAAACCATTGGGAGTCTACCGTTTGGAAATGGTTCCAGGTATGCTCATATATCGCAGCTCACGACGATTGGATCGAACATTGTTCTGGATATTTTTCCGTCGAGCACAAGACCTCTCCAGACCCTATCGACAATGGCCGTGAGAGCGAAGCAGCTACCCAGGCTTGGAAAGATGAAATTGAACAGGGTGCACAGAGTTGCCAGAGGCCCCTTGATATTGGAAAGCTCTTTGACAATTTCGAGACGGTCGGCCTGAAATATGGTCCCCTTTTTAAGAACCTATCCAATATCACCGCCAACAGCCAACAACCGGGAGTCATAATGGGCACCGCGACCACTCCGGAATTGGCATCCGCAATGCCAAAGGGTTATCTTGACTCTCACGTCATTCACCCTGTCACATTGGACAGCATGTTTGTTTCTGGACTTGTCGCGATCTGTGACCATGGGCGGCAGACTGTTTTGAAACGGCCGATGGTACCGACTTTCATCAAAGAATCTTGGATTTCCGCAGACAACAATGCTCAGGCAGGTGTTAATTTCCGATGTCACGGACAAGCCTCATCGGAGGCATACGATTCCTACAGTTTTGACATCAAATGTTCGGATGGAGCGGACGATCAGCCACGGGTCTCCCTCTCAGGAGTTCGCTTCACTCCCTTATCGGATGAGGATGCTTCGCTTAGCGGCACACAACAACACGGCTACGCAATGGACTGGACGCTTGATATCGATATGTTGGAATCACCAGAATTTCACCAGGCATTGTCGGTCGAACCGTCGGCGACGTACGAGGAGCAGCAAAACTTATTCGAAAAGCTTCAGCTTGCATCTGCGCTGCTGATTACCGATGCCCTTGAAGCTCTGAAAGGTACCCCCGTCAAGCCGCCGACAAGTCATTTGCGAAAGTATTACGAATGGATGCATCTGATTGCAGACAATGCGGCAGCAAATTCAGTGGTACATGCCCCGCTTGAGTTATGCAAAAAGTATTCTGGGGACCCAAGTCTCAAACAGGAGCTTTACCAGGAAGTCGAAAAACTTAACAAGGATGGAGAACTTATGGTCCGACTAGGTTTGCAGATTCCAGCAATCATGCGGGACGAAGTTGATCCGCTGTATCTCATGTTTGGCCAAGACGACATCATGACCTCTTATTATGAGGAGGTTTTGCATGAAGGCGACGCCACGGAGAACGTGGATGCGTATTTATCTCTCCTCGGCGACAACTACAGCGATCTTGAGATCCTCGAAATAGGTGCCGGAACCGGAAGCTTTGCTCGGCTTCTTTTAGGTATTCTCGCCCCTCGGTCCGGAAATGAGAGCACGGATAGCACCAATACAGTCGCCCAGTACACCTTCACAGATATTTCACCTAGCTTCTTTTCTAAAGCAAAAGAGAATCTAAGCGAATGGGTAGACCTTCTTACATTTGAGAAGTTGGATATCGAACGTGACCCAACAACCCAAGGCTTCAGTGCCAAAAAATACGACATGATCATCGCGCACAACGTCCTGCATGCTACACCGGACTTAGGAAAGTCTCTCGAAAATACTCAACGTTTGTTAAAGCCTGGTGGCAAGCTTGTGGTCCATGAAGTGGTCAGACCAGATATTGTCTGGCCGTCACTTATATTCGGTCTTCTATCTGGCTGGTGGCTGTCTAATGAACCTAATCGCGAGTGGTGCCCTCTCATCACGCTTCCGGAATGGGACGCTCTTCTTCGTCAGAGGGGGTTCTCGGGGGTTGAAATTGAAATTCCCAATTCGCGATATCCTGAGTTTGTAAAGCTCAGCACAATGATTTCATCCGCTGTCCCAGATTCCCCAGACAGTGGCCGTACCGCAACCGATGTCGTGATCCTTGCCCCTGCCTCTAGAGTTGAGCACGATTTCATTCACAAATTACAAGCCGAACTTGCGCAAAATGCTGGGGTTACAAACTGTACTGTCATGCAACTACATGAATTCATTGGAAAGGATAGAGCGAACGTTATCTGCATCTCTCTTTTAGAACTTGAAACTCCCGTTTTGCTTGACATTTCCGAGGAGGACTTCAAGAATCTCCAGCAATACTTTTCAACATGCAAAAGATTGTTGTGGATAACAGGTGATCCGGCCGCACAGCCGGCGTTCAACATGAGCACCGGCATGGTTCGCACGCTTCGATGGGAACGCGATGCGGAGAGCCCAAATTTTGTTACCCTGGCACTTGGTACTTCCAGTTCTTCTCCCACTAGATCAACCATCGATTTAGTATCGAAGATATTCCGTTATCAATTCACCAGTGGGCAGATGAAACACCAGAACGCTGAGTACCTTCTGCGGGATGGGTTGATTTACATTAACCACATCCTTGATCATCCCTCGGCAACCAGTTTCTTGCGTTCGCAATTCTCAACACTCAGTCCAGAATTGGTTCCGTGGAAGAACACCGGACGTCCAGTTAAGCTCCAGAACAGCACACGAGGAGTACTCAACAAGCTGCAATGGGTGACTGACGCTGCTTCCGCTTTGCCGCTAGGAGATTCAGACATTGAGGTTGATATTTGTGCTGTCGGGCTCAATTTCGTGGACCTTCTAAGTATTATGGGTGAGGGGGTGGGAGATGTCGTCGGGAGAGAAGCGGCTGGGGTCGTGACCAGGGTTGGGCCAGGTGTCAGGCATTTGCAGGCCGGCGATCGTGTAGTCTATCTCACCGACTCGCCCAAGAAGGGGACTTTCCACAGCCACGGCCGGGTCAACGAATCGCTAGCTATCAGAATACCGAACAATATGAGTTTCGAATTTGCTGCAGGGCTCCCAGTTATCTACGCTACTGTCATCTACAGCTTGACAAATGTCGGCAGACTAGTTGCTGGTGAAAAGATTCTCATTCACTCTGCCGCCGGTGGCGTTGGGCAAGCCGCCATTCAGTACGCCCAAGAAATTGGAGCTGAGATCTTTGCAACTGTCTCAAGCGTTGAAAAGATGGAATTCCTCAAGAAGGAGTATGGCATCCTTGAGGATCACATATTCTCAAGCCGAGACACCAGCTTTGTTCAGGGGATTATGAGAATGACTAAAAATTCCGGCGTTGATTTGGTTCTCAACTCATTGTCCCAAGAAGCTCTGCGGAAGTCCTTTGAATGCGTTGCGCCATTTGGTCGTTTTATCGAGATTGGGAAGAAAGACCTGCAGGCTGGCGGCAAACTAGACATGACTCCCTTCCTTCAAAATATCTCATTTACTGGAGTAGATTTACTTACTCTCGCTGAGTCCAGACCAAAAATTGTGGGAGAGCTTCTCAATATGACCATACGCCTGTGGGAAGAGAATAAGATCAAGGGAGCCCATCCACTAACGACCCTGGGCTACTCTGAACTTGAAGATGGTCTTCGCATGTTACAGTCCGGCAAGAACATTGGTAAAATAGTGTTCGCACCTAACGAAAAGGATATTGTTCCCGTTATCCCCGAGGTCAATATCCCGTACACATTTGAGGCCAATGCGTCTTATGTACTCGCTGGAGGTCTTGGAGGACTTGGAAGGAGTCTGGCACGGTGGATGGTGAGCCGTGGCGCAAGGCATTTGGTATTCCTGTCACGTTCAGGAAAAATCACGCAACCAGTCCAAGAGATGGTTGCCGAGTTGGAAGGGAAAGGATGCGAAATTCGAATCTTCACCTGCGACGTGTCTGACGCATCTCGGCTACAAGCAGTTGTTGAAGAGTGCCAGCAGACACTTCCTCCAATTAAAGGATGTATTCAGGGTTCGATGGTCTTGAGGGTGAGTAATCCATATTTCCTTCATTTTGAAACTAAGAAATCCAATCCGCAGAAAATAAGCGTTTTTATGAGGACAAGGGAACTAACAGGGTGCAGGATTCACTCTTTGAAAACCTGACGTATGCGGATTGGACGGCGACAATCAAACCCAAAGCTCAAGGCTCACAAAATCTCCACGATGTCTTGCCCAAAGACCTTGACTTCTTCGTCATGCTCTCCTCGCTGGCTGGAGTTATGGGAGGCCGCAGCCAGGCAAACTATGCCGCAGGTAACACATATCAGGACGCGCTTGCCAAACATCGCGTGGCAAACGGACTGCGAGCCGCAAGTTTCGACATCGGCGGCGTGCTATCCGTTGGTTTCGTTGCCGAAAACCAAAACTATGCTCGAAATGCCACAAAGGCCATGATACCAATTCGGGAAGACGAGGTCCATGCAGTCGTGGAATATCTAGTCGACCCACGACACGAAAAGACCCAGAGCACTTGCCAGGTACTCTTCGGCCTGGCGACGAAGAAGTCTTCTCAAGAGCGTGGAGTGCCCCCTCCCGAATGTTTCAACTACCCCTTATTCACCTTGTTGCAGAAGACCAGTGGTTCCCAGCAGCAAGGGTCTGAAGAGACGGATACCTACTGTGTCGACGCTCTACTCGGAGCCGCTAGGAGCAGAGAGGAGGCAGCTGAAATAGCGCTGAACGGCATACTGAACAAGCTGTCGGTGCTTCTAAACGTCTCTAGTGACCAAATCGACCCGGGCAAATCGACCCGTTCGAATGGAGTTGATTCCCTGATTGCGATTGAATTCCGGACGTGGCTAGCGAAAGAGGCGGGGACAGAGTTATCGCTCATCGATGTTACGGTTGGCGGCAGTATCAATGAGCTGAGCCAGAAGGTCGCATCTCTAAGCCGGTTCGTCCAGGGCAATATCTCTGATTCAAAGTAAGTGCTATAGGGCATGCTGCTTGGGCGGGGTTTGGGTCTTTACTATTTGATGATTAATGATGTTATGATGATTTATATTTTGTTCACCCTGCTCATATGAGCCCAGAATGTTTTCTCTATAAGTTAATTTCACACTTTCTTCTTTACACTCTCTCTTTACACTCTATTCCCAGCGACAACCTGAATATAACACTGTTTGAGTCAGTTCCCCGCTCGTACACTGTACATACATGACAAGACAACCTCATCCGCAGTTTCGATTTATTTTGGGTTTTTTTGGATTTTCTCTTTTTACCCTCCGAAATACAATTATTCCACGCCAATATTATTAAAATTTCTGTGAATCAGGGACGTCCGTCTTTTTCAGAACATTATTTCATTATTTAGGTTGACCCCAGATTGGTGGGCAAGATCAAGCTTTTGGGACCTCCCAGCCACTAACACGGCTGCTGCTAAATAAGTGCCCGCAGTTAAGGCGGCCCGAGGAACGAAGCTGGATCCCGCACAACCGGGAACAAAGGCCAAGCCCTTTCCTTGTCCGCGGTGGTGTATATATGTAGCCTGTAGCCGGGGTTCTGGCTGTACGCACAGTATGAGTCACCAACCTTGGAAGCTGGCGGGTATCAGGTTGACTCTAGTGTCCCGAACAGGTCTAGCATCCTTTTTGATGACTCAGCGTATATCCTCGCTGGTTTGGCGTCTTGGCGCAGGCAAAGGGGCGCTGAGTCAACCAACCCAGCCAATGGCAGGACGTGTATTGGTCCGAGCATCGGCGTCACGTGCCCCAATTGCCCCCGATTCTCGCGCCGAAAAGCACACAGCTGCTTCCTCAGTTGGCGGGCGGTGACTGGTAGCGGCCAAACAATTTGAAGACATGCGAATAAATAATCTAATCGCTCCGAGAGAGCTTTCTTCCACTTCCATCATCCCCCCTCCTCCTTCAATTCCTTCCACTAGCCCTCTCTGAGATTTGGATTCTGTTCCAAATCAAATTCTTCATCGTCTTTCTTGTTTGGCCCTGGCAATTCTCGCCGCTCGCAAAGATGATGTCGATAAGGCCATCAAGGCGCGCCTTGTGTGCGCTCCATTCCCAAAATGCGTCTTTGAGAAACTGTTCGAGACCCTCGTCCTCTGCGCCTACCGCTTCTCTCTCCTCCCAAAACCGCTTGAGTCAGACATCTTCCGCAAGAGGCGTATCAAAACGAGGCCAGAGCACTGTCTCTGCTCCATCTCCGTACGTTGTTCCCGTTAATTTCCCTATTTTCATTCCTTGTCTTCATATTAGGTGTAAAATTTGATTTCTTAATTCTTCAGAAACTCAAATGTATACCATCGTGCAATATATTTTGGGTATAAGCTAATCTGTTGCATGAGAAACAGACAAGCACGACCATATCCCAGCCCTGCCTTTAATCAATATACCCCTCAGAATGATATCTCACCCCTCCAAAACAAGAAGCTACCAGCGCTGGATGACTCGTATGTTTTTACTCGATCGGACGGTCTGCCTGTTGCTTTGATATCTCGCTCACCGTTTCTTGCAGATTTATCGGAATGAGTGGAGGAGAGATTTTTCATGAGATGATGCTAAGACAAGGAGTGAAGCATATATGTGAGTAATCCCAGAACAAAAAGGAGAAAAGCAATATCAATTGGCATATTTCAGTAAAACCTTTCCGTTATACAACTAACCGCAACCACAATTATGCAGTTGGGTACCCTGGTGGTGCTATCTTGCCAGTCTTTGATGCGATCTACAACTCTAAACACCTCGATTTTGTACTTCCACGACATGAACAGGGTGCTGGACATATGGCCGAAGGCTATGCTCGGGCATGTGGAAAACCAGGCGTGGTGCTTGTCACCTCAGGACCCGGCGCAACCAACGTTATTACACCGATACAGGATGCTATGTCCGACGGAACCCCCATGGTGGTCTTTTGTGGCCAGGTTGCGACAACCGCCATTGGAACGGATGCCTTCCAGGAAGCCGACGTAATTGGCATCTCAAGAGCTTGCACGAAATGGAATGTCATGGTAAAATCGGTCGCTGAGCTCCCTAGACGTATCAAAGAGGCCTTTGAAATTGCCACCAGCGGCAGACCAGGGCCTGTTTTGGTTGATCTTCCTAAAGATGTGACAGCTAGCATCCTGCAGAAGGCTATCCCCATGAGCAGCACACTCCCAACTCAGCCAAGTGCAGCAACCCTTGCGGCACGTGAACTTAATGCACGCTACCTGGAAGCGAACATCCGGCGCGCAGCTAAATTGATTAACATTGCCAAGAAACCTGTTCTATACGTTGGCCAGGGTCTCCTTGCGCGCCCAGAGGGCCCGAAGTTGCTCAAGCAGCTCGCAGACAAGGCAAACATTCCCGTCACCACCACTCTGCAGGGTCTAGGCGGCTTTGACGAGTTGGATCCGAAATCTCTCCACATGCTGGGAATGCATGGCTCAGCCTACGCCAATATGGCTATGCAAGAGGCAGATTTGATTATTGCCATGGGCGCCAGATTTGACGACCGTGTTACATTAAACATTTCCAAATTCGCTCCCCAAGCCAAGGCTGCCGCCTCGGAAGGCCGGGGTGGTATTATTCACTTTGAGATGGTGCCCAAAAATATCAACAAGGTCGTCGAAGCAACGATACCCGTTGAAGGTGATTGCGCAGACAACCTCGCCCTTTTGATTCCACAGATCGACGCTATCAAAAGCCGACCCGAATGGTTCGCTCAGATTAATGACTGGAAGATGAGATTCCCTCTTTCCCTATACGAAAAGCAAACCCCGGAGGGCCTCATTAAACCTCAAGCACTCATTGAGAAACTTAACGAATTGACCGCGGACATAAAAGACCGTACTATTATCACTACAGGCGTTGGTCAGCATCAGATGTGGACTGCTCAACACTTCAGATGGCGATATCCGCGGACCATGATCACATCTGGTGGGCTGGGCACTATGGGATATGGCCTACCGTCCGCCATTGGTGCCAAGGTTGCCCGCCCGGACGCGCTTGTGATCGACATTGATGGCGATGCATCCTTCAACATGACTATTACCGAGTTGACTACCGCCGCGCAGTTCAACATTGGTGTTAAGGTCATCGTTCTCAACAATGAAGAGCAGGGCATGGTAACGCAATGGCAGAGTCTTTTCTATGAGGACCGCTTCGCCCATACTCACCAGCTGAATCCAGATTTCGTCAAGGTATCAGAAGCCATGGGTGTACAAGCCAAATTGTGCTCGAAACCCAGCGAGGTGGAGTCGAGCTTGAAATGGCTTATCGAGAGCGAGGGCCCGGCCTTGCTCGAGGTGGTTACCGATAAGAAAGTTCCTGTTCTGCCAATGGTGCCGACAGGTAAAGGACTGCATGAGTTTTTGGTGTATGATGAAGGTATGTAGCCCAAGCCCTACACACTTGTTACGTCTTCAATTCGGTGCGTGATTGATATTAGGAATAATGACTAACTCAATTGAAATTATAGCCAAGGAGAAGGAGCGAAGAGCCCTCATGAAGAAGAGATCTGGATATTAAATTTACCAGTTCTCTTGAGCTTCGCGATTTACCTGGCCGCCAGCACATGCCACGGGGTGGAGTGCATCTTGACGTAATTATATTTGTTTTCTTTTTTTCTTTTTCTTTCTTTATTTTTATTTTTTTTTTTTATTTTTATTTATTATTTTTTTTTTTTTTTTTTTTCACGCATTTAGCTCTTATTTTCTTGACGGATTTCCTTCTCCTATTTTCAATTCCCTTTTTTTGTTTCCTCAATTGTCCGTTTTTGATATCCATGGGCGTTATGGAATGGAGGATGTTCAAACAAAATACAAAACAAAAGTTGGCATCGCGCGGCGGTAGCGCAATTATATATCTTAAAACGCAAGCAAGTATAGGTGGTTACGCACTGCTTGGAAGGATTTGAAAACAGGCAACTCGGACATGCTTCTCGGCTTGTTCTTGGGACATCTTGTCCCATCCTTTCGGACCCATCGATCTGTTGACCTACCTGCACCTGTTCTCTTTTTTGTGATGGGGAGCTGCACACATCATTACATTTAATTATTCAAGGGTAGTTATTTCCAAGAGTTTTGATTCAAAGTGTTCTTTGATTCTCCATATCAGTACGGAGTAAACATTTATTCAAAACCCCTCCTCCACCCAAGAAGCAACCGAGGGAAAATTGAGGAACTCTGGAAACCGGTCCGGGTCACGTGGCTGCTCTTTGCCTCTGACGTCTGAACTAGTAACTTGCAGCTTCAATCATCACCAAACCTTTCGGATAGCTCCGTCCCTTTAAATTTCTTCTCTTCATTTCACTTCACTTTATGGTAATACTCAGATCGCCGAAATGAGATGAAGACGTGAAATTGTGTACCGCAAACCCAAGCAGACCAATACATCTTGCGATATCACATATACACGATGGCATCTTTGCCCCAACAGTCATCTGCGGGAAGGCAGCGGCCATCAGCCTCCCAGCAAGTATCTAACAACCCCACTTCATCATCTAGTAGCGCAGAACCGCCTCAATCTGAGACAGTTACCTCCGTCCCTACAACCCCTTCCATCGACCACCCAGACGTCTTTTTCCCCACCGTTTCGCGTACTTCCGGTGTTCGAGAAGGTGAGAGTAGGCAACTCCCGCCTGATACACCATCATCATCACGACCACAACAACAAGAACAGCCAAGTCAACAAACCCAAGACTCTGCCACCAACATCTCATCCGACGCAATACAGCAAAACCCTCCAACCGAGACCGGCGCCACAGACTCCGAGCCGCGCAAGTGCTGGATCTGCTACACCGACGAGACCGAAGATACCCCGCTGAACACAGAGTGGCGATCGCCATGTCCCTGCGCCCTGACAGCCCACGAAGCCTGTCTCCTCGACTGGCTCGCCGACCTCGAGAACCCAAACTCACGAAAACGAAATGGCCGTCCCACCAAAATGCTCTGTCCGCAATGCAAGTCCGAAATCGTCATCTCGCGCCCGCGAAGCTTTGTCGTCGACTTGGTGCGCTCTGTTGAGCGGCTGGCGGGCCGCCTTGTGTTACCCGGGATGGTTTTTACATTGGCCGGGACTGTGTGGGCTGGATGCTGCGCGCACGGGGTGTATTCTGTATACTTTATTTTTGGGTCAGAGGATGCGCAGCGGATATTCCAAAGCCGGAGCGAGTCGGCATGGAATCCGCGGTTGAATTTTGGATTACCGCTCATACCCGTCGTGCTTATACTTTCGAGAACGAAGTATGCGGAGGGTCTGCTGCCGGCTATACCTGTTCTTTTCTTCGCCACACACCAGTCCGGCAGCCAGGAGTTGGAGATGGATTTCTGGCCGCCCAGCGCTGCGATGACCTTTGCTGCGCTACCGTATGTGAAAAGCTTTTATAGTATGATTTACGAGAGATTATTTGGGAAACTGGAGAAGAAGTGGATTGCAGAGGTGCAGCCGCGCTCGGGGGAAACTGGGGCTGACGGACACGGTGGCGACGAAGGAGGTATACCCGACGTGGGGAATGGTGATATCCTCATGGAGATTGATTTAGAGCTACAAGTCGGGCTTGGTGGTGGAAGAAATGATGAGATTGAGAATATGCCAGCGTTACCGGGAGCTGGTGGCGAGGAGGTCCAGGTAAATGGCGACAACGGCGCAGCTGCTCAAAACGAGGAAGCAGGAGGCGGTGACCAAGGCAACCAAATACTTGGTCGGCGACAAGAGGGAATCATTCATGACACCAGCAACATTGCCGATACTGTTTTAGGTGCGCTGCTATTCCCCGTCATCTCTGCGTCGATGGGTGGGGTGTTGAAAATGGCATTACCAAAAGCGTGGACGACGGCGCCATCAGTTGCAGGGTCATCGTCACCTATACTGGAGAGGAGCAGATATGGCTTGCTACAAAGTAGATGGGGACGGAGCGTTGTGGGAGGCTGCCTCTTTGTACTTTTGAAAGATGCGCTGGTATTATATTGTCGATGGAAGTTGGCCAAAACGCACCGGAAACGGAAAGTGCTAAATTATGACCGGACGAAGAAGCAGGTTGTGCGGCCGAGGGGGTCACAATAATACTTGCTTTACGCATCGTTATTGATCATGCGGCGTATGATATAAATACATACCTACTTGCCTACTCATAGCGCGCCTTTATTTGTAATTGACGAATGTTAAACCTCGGGATATATATTTTCGGTTTTCAAACGTTCTCTACTAGGATGAGATTACGCATTGTAGCATAAGCTTTTCCCTACGTTTTTCCATCTACACGTTCTTTTCATCACGATACATGCAATGGAGCATTGCAATGGCTTTTTGTAGGAGGCGAATTGCTTGTAGCCTGGTTCTGTCGCTGGGATGGTTTCTGCATGAGGTCTAGTTCGCATAGTCGATGCTCTAGGGTTTTTTTTTTGGCCCTGTATAGTTAACTAGATCACCCCCCCCAATGACACTCCTGATTACGCTTTGTATGAGCATAAAAAAACCATAAATTCTATTAGTTTGTACGACTTGCTCTTATTCATCCGGTTGTTATGTGATGTTAGGGCGTGTCTCGTAATTTTTAGCTTTACAACCCCCGTTCCAGGTACGGCGTCTAACGGCTAATCCACCCAATCAGCATCTTTCATCCTTTTCGTCCAGCGGGACCTAAATTTCCTTCGACTTATCCATCGACATTAGAACATCCACCGTCGTCCGGTGTACTTTCGCGCGCTGCCCAAAACCAGCAAAGTTAATCGTGGGAGCGGAGTTTTTGCCAAACAATACCAGGGCTATTCAATTTGCTCTTTACGTCTAAACGGGAACAAATCATCCGGGCATAATAATTGGACCGAAAAAATAAAAAGATTTCGCAACCTCAAGAAAGCGAACGGAGAAAGCGCTTCCACACCCATCACACCTGAATCACGATGAGACAACAACTATCTCCCGTCCTCGCGTCGCTCGCGAACGTCTTCAAGATTCCCATTGCCCGTCCATCAGCACATCTTACGTCCCCATTGAGCTCTTCGTCGTCATCACTCCTCCAAGCTTCGCTGTCAAACCGGGTATGCGGTGGACTGCAGACTTCGGTTTTTACACGGTCATTTTCTGCCGGCCCTGTACTATCTGCGAGGAAAGGGAAGAAAGTTATTGATAAGCGCGTTAGTAAGTAACTACGATTATTCATTATATTGGGAGATGGGTGAGAGGGATGGTCCAAGTTCACCAATTGCTATATATATTATTTTTTCCGGATAAAATCTTCCGTTTTCACGCTTCCCTTTCTATTCTACTTTCAGGGCTTCCTTGCCTTCTTCCGTCGCTCCCCCATCCCTAAAAACCCTACAAGTGCGACTTAAAACTAATTTATCTTCCCACTCCAGCCCTAATCCGCTACTTCCTCTATCACCCTTTGACGCCACGCCCCCTCCGTTTCTCTCGCAACCGCTACCTGCGCCACTGGACCATCCACCGCGCCTGGCAACTCTACTGCGCCAAGAAACGGGAGGCGCGCCAGCTCGAGCTAGAACGGCAATGGAACAGCATGCGAGATGCGTGCGAGGAGCTACGGACAGGTGCAGGGGATGGCGGCAAGCTGTTCCGCATCTCCATGAACAAGAGAGGTGTCTTCACGGATCAGATACCGATTGAGTATGGTAGAATGCAGACGGAGGGACCAAGTAAGGAGGGATGGAATTATGACTGGAAGAGGTAGATGATTTAGTGGGGTTCGAGATAGATGCTGTTGAGGAGAATTCGTTGCAGTTTGGTGGGGGCGTAGTTGATGGTTTTTGAGCAGTATGTTCTCACCTTTGAAGACGCATTGACGTTGCAGAATGTGGGTGGATACAACCTTGCTCTCTTTCTGCCGGCACTTATATTGCCATTTTTCTTTTCAGGCCTTTTTTTTAAAAAAACAAACTTATTATTTATTTATTTATTTATGGCTTTGGATATGCTGTACTATATATTATATCATGCCTACAGGTGCAAAGAACAGATGCAAAAAATATAATTATCTCCTTTTCAAACCCGAATTAAAAGTTCCCGGCTGAATTTCATCCCTTCCATGCATATATGTTCCAGTCGACCGACGTAAATGCAGTGCCACGGTGAAGCTTCTTCGCCTACAGCTTTATTTACGAGCCAATAGCTCTCACATATTCTAATCTAGTAGGCTGGATAGAGGGGCACGCCATGCGCTCACTTTTATACGCACAGCGGGCCATAGATGTAGTCTTTCTTCCGACCTGTCAAGATAGTAAGCAGCATGCACTAGTCTGAGGAACATAGACGATGATTAAAATTAAAAATAATAGTACGGAATGAAGAGGTATTATAAATATAAAATGACAAATGACCTATCGTATATACAGATCTATCTAGATATAATCAGTTGCAGTTGTTCGTCAATTTGATAGATAGAGTAGTAACAGAGGGTTGGAAAATCCGACATGTTCTAAACTAAGCGCTAGGGGGTGGTTGGGGTAAGAGTAAGGGCGAGAGAGGGAAGCAACTAGCCCAAGGCAGAATCACAAAAAAGGTGGTTAATCTACTGGTAAAATAAGCTACAACTGAGAGACACAAAGGATTAAATATAGGCTTGACGGGCAACAGACAAAAAATGGGCTGGGGAACAGGGCAGAGGGAGGGAGGAGGCTACTTCAAGGGGGAAAGAATATAAGAGACAGAATAAACTCAAAACACAGCATACAAGAAAGAGGAGTTTTAAATAATAATAAAAAATGCACGAAGAATCCACATGAAATTGACAAGAATGAGAAGCACAAATATCAGGGACACAGGCAACAGGATAGCCAAAAAAGGAGAAGTGAAAAATCAGATCCCAAGAACGCCACTAATGCATGATATAGTTGATGCCAGAGTAGCCAGTTACATATAGCATGTAACTCAATTTTCCTTCATTTCCATCCGGCCAAACGCTAGTTTTTGCAAAGAGGTAACCCAGTTTTTCGAAGGAGACTGGGGAAGAGGATTTACGGAACGAGATAACGGGCAGACGAGGGGAGAAACGTCAGAGAATGAGGTATCTTCACGTAGAAGTGTGCGTAATTCAGTTAAGTCCGTTAGATGGGTTAGTTGGGTATTCAAACCAGGGATGAAATGAGACAAAAGCGTGATTATTTCCGTGAGGTGAGCGTGACATGAACTCATAAAATGACACAGCATGATCCTCTATCCTTTTCAAAGGTTAAAAGAGCAGCGCGGGTTGCAGCTTCGAAAACGTCATCGACACCTTCACCGGTAAGGGATGAACATTCTAAATATTTTCTTGCTCCGATCTGCGCCGCTGTATCGTGGCCCTCCTTGGGCGAGACGAAACGCAAGGATTTCTTTCTCATTTCTTCAATTGCGTGAGGATCTTCACGAAGGTCTTTTTTAAGGCCCACCAAAATAATTGGTACATCAGGGCAACGCTCATTTGCTTCTTCGATCCACTATGTTGTATTACGTGATTAGCAAAGAGCTGAAATTAAATATATAGATCAGGTCTTTGGGTATTTCTTCAGGAAAGGCAGGAGCTCACCTTATTTCGAACGTTCTCGAGAGAATCCGGAGTATCTACCGCAAAGGCAATTAGGAGGACATGTGCTTTTGAATATGCTAGCGGGCGTAAACGTTCGTAGTCTTCTTGCCCAGCAGTATCCCATAGAGCTAACTGGACAGATCGACCATCAACGCGACAATCCGTGACATAGTTTTCAAACACGGTAGGGACCTTTCCGAATGTACATCATTGTTAGAGGCCATGCTATCCAAAGGGATCACGTCTATTTAACATGGGAGCGTTATATACTCACGTAATGCTAGATTTGATATGCTAGTTAGTCGGGAGGCTACTATATTAATCTGAGAAAGTGATGGAAACACTTACTGTCGGAAAGTACCCGAGAGTAAACACGCTCAAAAGACTCGTTTTGCCGCAAGCACCATCCCCTATTATCACCAACTTCCTGGATAGCCGCTTATTAGCTCACTAGAACAACATTTCCACGTAGGGCTTGCAAAGACTATCGCTCGATCCAACTCTAGATATAGATTCCATAAAATTTGATACACCGATCCAGGAAGCCTATGGTTTAACAAATGTCACCTAACGAAAAAGGATCCCTTATTCACATACCTTCTCATAACATTGTCTGTCAGCTGTTGTTGTTGTGCCATTGTACAACTATGTCCTTGCCGAACCAGAAACTAGCAAACGATTCAACCAAAACGTTTGAGATGGGAGCCCCCCTTAAATTGTCTTCCAAGGGTTTTTTGCTTTAGAATTTCGATGAGGCGAAAGTTGGATCGGTTAGCCGAGATCGAAAAAGACGAAGAACGAGAGACAACCGGGGTGGAGAGAGCAGTAGGCCAGCTGGACGCAACAGATTCGGTCAGACGTCGAATAGGGATGTTGAAATACCAGTTGATTAACAGCCACGCAGAACGACGAGCTTCGACGCGCAGAAGACTTTTGGCAACGAGAACAGACCAGCTGCCCGTGTGTAGAGCGGAGGGTATGTTCAAGATAGGCTGATGGGCTGATGTCGCGAAGGTGAGAGAAGAACGAGAATGGAGTCAAGAGACCGCGTTTCAGAATCGGTGTGATAATGTCAAATAGGAGTTTAACTCAGAGCCAACGGTGCAGAGTATATACCCCTGCGGACGTGGGGATAGAGGGGGTTGCCGTTGATGGTCTTGGGGAATTTATTTAGAAAACGTTAAAGAGTAAGGAGGAAATAGGATCGGGCAGGGAGTGAGTAGGCTGATCTCGAATCCTGTGGATGTCTCTAATGTTGATAGGCGCAACTGGGGGAAATGTGTTAGAAAAAGAGACGATCCGAAGATAGGATATATATATCAATTAAGGAGATATGATTTGATCATTTCCCCATGGTCGATCTGTATGTTATCCGCCTGTTTGGGCGGTGTCAGCCGCGTACTGTATTGTATCGTCTTCCTAAAGAGGCCTAGCACTGCTCGCCTACGGCGCCTATTTCCGGATCACGTGGGATCCGTCTCAAACCACTCAGAAGGGCAGAACATTCCATCGTGATGGTGATGATGATGCTTGGAGCCAGTTCTCTAACCGCTCAAGTTTGCCCGATCCCAACCAGCACAGCAGCAGATGGATGTCGGGCTTTGATCCGCCCTAATCCATTAGCCAAGGACTGGTCGCTTTATACCAATTCTTCACTACTTCTACTCCTCCTCTTCCCTAATTCTCTAGCTTTAGCCCGGCACTTCCCCTCCAGTCTCCTCCACCATCCACCCGCTCAACCTCTCTGCCGCCGAGCCTCTATTTCACGTTCCATTTACCCAGAGCGGGCTACATATCATTTGAGTCTGCCAGTCCGTACCTCTTTTCACTCTCCCCTCCGTCTGTATAAGCTACACCTTCAATTCAATCTGACCACTCTGCTTGGTCAGATAGAAGAACCATGCCGTCCAACTCAAAGCGCGCGGCGCAACCGCCAATAACGATATCGAAGCAGCCAACTGCTACAGATGCACCCAGATTGTCACCTCCAGTGGCTAGCAGTAAAGACCCTGCCGCTGAAGCAAAACAGACCAGCGGGTCCAAGGCGGCTTCACTTGCGAAATCGAATCTAGATACAGCTGCGAATCACGCAGTTGCAAACCACGTTGCTCCAACAACCACGGTTGGTGTGAATCGGAAAAAGCAGAAGAGACGGCAGAAACAAGCGGCACGTCTAGCTGCAGAGCAGCAGCTTAAAGATGCACATGATCCAGCAGGTACTGTCAATCAGAACGGTTACACCAATAACACACATTTGGATGATCCAGATGTCCCACTCGGTTCCAACCAATACTCCTCCTCTCACCACAACCAAAATTATTTCGACTCTCATGTCGACGATCGAAACCACTACGATCCCGCCCAAAACGATGATCTCTATTCTACCGACGACGAGGGCCACTTTTATGCCCAGTCGCATTCTCAAGCCCATCCCAATAGGCGGAGTATGGATCAACATTCCGAAGCTAGTGGAAACAAATCCAAGAAGAAGAAAGGTAAAAAACACCGTTCTAAGTCCCTCGCAGCCGATGGAAGTTCAACATCACTATCAACTCAGCCAACGTCTGCTACACGACACGCCCCGCCACCTCCACCTCCACTATCTAACGCCGCACTTCGTTCCGCCCATAAAATATCAAAGGACAGGATATGGAATACGTCGACTCAAGAGGAACGAGAAAATATCAAAGAATTTTGGCTGCAACTGGGTGAAGAGGAACGGAGATCGCTGGTGAAAGTTGAAAAGGAGGCTGTTTTGCGGAAGATGAAGGAGCAGCAGAAGCATTCATGCAGTTGCACTGTATGCGGGAGGAAACGGACGGCTATTGAAGAAGAGTTGGAGGTTCTGTACGATGCATACTACGAAGAGCTTGAACAGTACGCGAATCACAGCCAATCCTCTTTCGAAAACGGGGCCCCAATTGTCCCGCCTCGACTATACCAGCCACCGCTCCGCCCGCTTGATAGGCATCCCCACCTAACAAATAACCAACATCCCCAGAAGGGGAGAGTTGAAGAATTGCCTGACGATGACGAAGATTTAGATGAGGACTATGACGAAGATGATGAAGAAGATGAGCCTTACAGTGACGATGAGCTTGAAGAGGCTACTCGGAACAGTAGGGCCGATTTTTTCGCGTTTGGTAACAGTTTGACGGTTAAAGGTAGGTTCACTTATCATTCACCGTATACCCTTATCGATTGCGGCTAACCTTCCCTAGACGGTATTCTCACTGTTGCGGATGATCTGCTTAAAAACGATGGCAAGCATTTTATTGATATGATGGAACAATTAGCGGAACGCCGAATGCAGCGCGAGGAAGACACGCAATACGCTGCATCTTCGGCCGCTCATCAATCTCTACATGCCGGTCATAACCACGGACCTCCTCTCGACGAGGAAGATTATGATGATGATGAAGACGATGACTACGATAGCCAGGATGATGAGGACTACGAGGAGGATGAGATGGTTTGTGTGAACACTATTTGGTTTTTAGATATACTTACTAATTCTCGGTTACAACGTAGGATGCAATGACGGAGGAGCAGCGTATGGAAGAAGGAAGACGGATGTTTCAAATCTTTGCCGCTCGGATGTTTGAACAGCGTGTTCTATCTGCATACCGAGAGAAGGTCGCCCTAGAACGCCAACTGAAACTTATTGAAGAGCTAGATGAGGAGAACCGGTTAGATGTTCAGCGGGAGGCAAAAAAGGCAAGAGAAGCGCAGAAGAGAAAGGACAAAAAGAGACAGCAGAAACAGGCCAAGGAGGAGGAGAGGGCGAGGAAGGAGGCGGAAAGGGCTGCTGAAGCTGCTGCTGCGAAGGCTATCGAGGAGAAGAAACAAGAAGAACAACGGCGAAAGAAAGAGGAACAAAGAAAGAAGAGGGAAGCGGAGAAAAAGGCCCAAGAAGAGGAGCGTTTACGAAAGGAAGCCGAAAAGCAGAAGCGTCTTCAAGGGGAACGTGAACGTCAAGCTGAGATCGAACGAAAACAAAGGGAGCAGAAGGAGCGAGAGAAGAAAAAGCGAGAGGAGGCAAAGAAAAGGGAGCGCGAGGAGCGAGAAGCGAAGGAGAGGGAACTTCGAGAAAAGAAAGCAAAGGAAGGACAGGAGCGTAAGGCCCGGGAAGAGCAGGCCAAACTTGAGAAAGAAGCAGCTCTCAAGGTAGATCGCGAGAGCAAAGAGCGCGCTAAACGTGAAGAACAAGCTACTCAGGCTGCGCAAGCGGCCACTGCTCAAGCTGCCAAACGAATATCCCAATCGGGGCCGACGTATCTTCCTCCAGGTCTTCAACCTCCACATGGGCAATCAGCGCTGCAGTCACCACATTTTCAGGCTGCTACACCGGTTGTACCGAAAGCCCCAACTCCGGTTCGACCTCGTCAAACATCCCAACAAGGGTCCCATGCTTCTTCTCCGAGATCCCAACCCGCCGGAACAGATACTTCACACACCTCTATTTCCCCTGGAAATGCTGGTGTCTCGCAGTCATCAGGTTCCTCGAGTTCGGTTTCTGTGAAGTCCTATGGCCCACCACCGATGCTCCATCACCCTCAGCCCTCTGCTCCTATGTCGCCCTTGGGTGGAACCGGCCGCAGCCCTCATTCTTTGGGTTTTAACTCGATGCCTGCATTGAATGGAATACCTTCCAGCCTCGCCGGTTTACCGGGAATGACATCCCGAATTCCATTGGGTCATGAAATGCACATGTATTCCAGCCAACAGAGCTCTCTAGGAGGCCAATTCAGAGGATTCCCATCCCCAGATGGTATACCAATGGCTCCGGGAATAAATGGGACTCGTCCGATGATCCCAGGTCGGGGCTTCCCTCTAGATACTGGCCACGGTTTGCCATTTCCTTCGCAGCCGTTAGGACATGGTCCAATCTCTTCGTCACAGCAACCTCAGATACCCCGGGAAACAGGGCGTGGACAACCACATTCGAGACAAGCGTCAGCGTCCTTTGAAAGAAGCCCTCTAGAAAACCAGCCACAGAATTTGCCCATATCCCGACCAGCTCCAATTCAACGCCCCGCTAGTACTACCCCTCATAATGCCTCACGGAACGAAACGAGGCCCGGGCAGTCAGATATTGACGACTTGAGCGCGCAGCTTGGCAGTAGTGCTCTTCTCGATGACACGGATGTGCCTTTGACTTCCAGTCTATCTCAGCCTATTCCCACAGGCGCTCTTCCTGGCGCTCCCGGAGCTGGGAGAATGGGATTCGGAACATCACCATTATTTCCTGAACATCTCGGTTGTAAGTTGATATTCTGCTACCATGTTGAGTTTCCACCCTCCTACAGAACTAACAAAATTTTAGCCAAGCATCCAAATTTCACCCTCGGCGCTGCGGGTTCGGGTAATTCTTGGAGCTCACAAAAACCATTCGGGGCTCCCGGATTCCCCCCTCCAGCAACCTCTTGGGGCTCAGTACCAGGTTCAGGTTAGTTTATCTTATCAGGGGATTATTAAACTATCTTATTGACCCGTTGATATAGGAGCTGGATGGCCGGGTAACGCGTTCGGTGCAATAGGGCTAACACGTCCTTTGCAACCCGTTAAGATTCGTTCGCTGGTAGCAGAGGCTTGTAAGAAGCTCAACGCAACCAGTCCAACAAAAGGCAACTCAGGTTTCCATAACGTGAACCATGTGTTACGACAAGTTGAACAATCGCACCAGCCACTTGATTCTCAAATCACACTTGACGAGCTGTTGGATATCCTTGACACCGAAGGTAACCCGCAAAATGGTGGTGGCTCTTTCGCAATCAAAAATGAAGGGACGCGTGGCACGTTCGTTAAGTTTGAGCCCGATAACAATAGCATACCACTAGGCCCCAGAGGAAGCATTGCACCAGGAGATATCGGCAGTCCCGTCCCTGGCAGTAGCGTTCCAGCACTTGGCGGTATTGGGTCAGCGGGGGGTTCGAGACAATTCCCAGTCCCTTCGAATATGTCTCCGCCGACTGGGTTTTAAAGCCGGTGTCCATTCGATTTGGTATTTCCATTTCTGGGTGGGCATCTGTATATTTCGTGTGGAACCCGCCTAAATGCTTTTACTACTCTCTATTTCCCCCTGGAAGGCTAATGATCCTCGCTTTTGTTATTTTCCGCAGTATCTTATGGGTTTAGTGGACAATGTCCTCATTGTCACTCTCACCAAACTCTCTATTCTCTATCAAGAACACTTCCCTTTTCGGTTAGCCATTTCCCTCAACACCGAAACCAGCATCAGCTAAACTGTCATCCGTTCCTCTTTTCCTTCACCATCATTATTAACCTCCGACCATTATCTCCTTTCCACCTCCTGTTCTCTTCCATTCTGTTACGTCGTTACTCTCCTTTGTCTCAGTCTAATGATCTCTCTTTCCTTCTCTATGTTTTTCCTTTGTCCCTAATTTTTTTTTTTTTTTTTTTTTTTAATTTCCTACGTGTCGCTGCCTGAGGTACAGCTTTCATTTACTGTATCACACAGCCGGGAAGGTACACTGTTCAGGCAGGCAGGCGGGCCGGTTATGTATGGCAGCTGGCAAGCTGTTAAGGGTAGCTATTGCTTTTTTTTTTTTTTTTTTTTCTTTTTTGCTATTGATTGTTCGATTATCCAATCGTCGCTTTTATGAAACACTTGCAACAGATCATGGGCGTTACAGAGTCACAATTCATTTTGCTTTTTATTCACCTTCTGTCTGAAACCGAACTATTCCATTACATACATCCTGGCCTTTTTCATGAATAAATAATGCTGAGAGTGAGGCGGACCAAAATGTCTTGTGAAGTGTGAATGAACGGCTGTACGCAGGGTCATTCTACAGTCCCAAGTCACTCACTTAGGTGCTTAGGATTCCCTATGCATCTCGAGGCTGATCAGGTGGCAATTAAAATAGATGGGAAACGCGGGCGGCAACCTCGCTTGCAATAATGTAATGGAAACACGATGGACTACTCTATGTACCGTACCCGTACCCAAGTATGTAAGAAGGTCTTAAATTTCAGTTCCAGTTGCAACCATTTAGAATTTATAATGCCGTCTGAAGCAGGCACATGACGGTAATTCGAGCAGCACCTAACTCCATCGGCTGAGCGCTCCAAAAGAAGAAGGAAGAAGGAATGGGAACGTCCTCAAAGGGGAATTAAGAGCCGCATCCAAAACATATAAACCCCCCCCCCCCCCCCCCCCCCCCCCCCCCGGGGCCCACCCTTCCCCTTCTTCTCTTTTTCCCTCCTCTCTTTCTTCTCCGCCCCCCTTTTTTTTTTCTCCTCCTCCTCTTTCTCTCTCTTCTTGTATCTCCCTTCTCCTATCTTTCTTTCTCCTTCTTTCTCTTCTCCCTCTCCTCTTTTTCTCCACTCCATCTGTTCTTTGTTCTTTGGCACCGCCATGCATGAAGTGTTGTGAAAACATGAGCAGCCTCAGTTCTATGAAAAGCCTGCGGGAGATCCAACAGTCTACTAGTGCGCGAAGGGGGCTGAGGATATCTGTCAATTTGGCACTGGAGCACAGGAGCTGAGGGGGGTATGCAAATTGAAAAGTGTATTTGCAAATACTAACGAGCGAACCGGAGTCATGCTCATATGATACTTTCCCAGGGTGGTTGTTATGTACAGTACAATCAATCAATCAATCTTTCATCTTTATCAGATTATCAGCTCTTAGTCACTTCACATCATCAAATATGTTAAAATCTAGAGATCGATTCTATAGTCTTCTACAAGAGTCAATGATAAGAATAAGAATTTGATACGCCAAGCCCTCGCTGCTCCATCCTTTCATTTTACGCATTTGACCCTTTTGTTCCGAGCATCAACTTCTGTTGTCATGCACAATGGCATGACCCAGTGAAGATTGGTCAGGCTTCGCTGGCCTAAGTCCAAAAGTCACACAAGTATCTGCAAATCAAGCACATACTCTCTTCAGCAAACTTTGCATTTTGCATCTGAAGAAACGTGGGATACGATTGCGACACCAAACATCAAAGGAAAATTCTACGCAGGGATCAGAGCGCTTCGAGCTCAAAACAGCTCTTCTCTCACTTGATGCGCTGAACGGTCTAAGCCGTTCTTCCTGGCTCTAAATTAACCGAGCAACGAGAGAGAGTCTGAGGACGACGCGTGATGAGAGTGGCAAAGGGCCCGGCCCGCTTGTTCGCGGTGCCTCTGCCTCTGCCAGATTCGCCTCTGCCCACAACATCGAAACCATCCCTCCCGCATAGTTCCTTCCCCGAAGGGATATATGCCCCTTGCTTTTAAGTTTGGATAGGACATCGGGCAGGTACCCTTTGTCCTCCTCCTACTAAGGGGCCCTTACCTATTTAGTTATACTAACCCCCACCTCGCAAGTAGCTGACCATATATTCCAGTCTCCTCGCCTTGTAACTCAAGCCCTCTCAGTCATCTGCGTAGTGTCTTTCCAGGTTTACGGGTTGTATTTTCGCAAGTAAAGGATAAGAAGAAAGCTCCAAGCAGAAAAAAATCGTAGAATGTCCCTAATGTCCAAAACCAAAGGATGTGATTGCTTATTACACTGGTGGCTGGTTTGGGAAATAGAAAACTGATAGTTTATAGAGGTACAGAATTGGGAAATAATAAGATGATGGTAGCGCGCGCCAAGACAATGCGCTACTGATAAAGCCAAGGACAACAGCAGAGAAGGCAGACAAACTAAACTCCCCATGGTTTAAAAAACTAAACAAATGGAGAATAAAAATATTCTGGAATGATACACACGGCCAAAGCCGAACCAGGTGCTCGAAGTGGACCAAAAAAAAAAAAAAGGGGGGGGGGGGGCTGGGTGTGGGGAAGGGAAAAGCACAAAAGTAGTTTGGGTCCAGATTCATGTACATAATAATAAAGCAACCCCTACAAGAGACCGGAAAAAAGCAAAAGACAAGAACTTAGAAAATAATAATAATTTATACCCTTGGCTCCGTCACAACGCCCTCATACTCTCGCGATTTGATATAATCCAGCGTGCGCTGGAAATGGCGCTTTGGGTTATCAAGGCTAGAGTTTGGCACGCCGTCATTCTGGCTTGTTTGGAGGTTTGAGTGGATGAGTTCGATGAGCCCGTTCAGATACCTAGTCGTCACAGTCTCGTTCCCTTGATCGAAATAATATACATAGCGGTTCAGAATTTCGACAAAAAGCTCCACGGATACTGCTGTGTCCATGCATGCGTCCGCAACACGTAGAGCCCTTTGGAGACATTCAAGTACGCGTTTACCGTCACGGTATAGCTATACGAATAGTACCATCACGTTAGCAAATCACACACCGCCAATTTTAAGGAAAAGGGGGTAATGTGATGCGAAAAGGAATGGGGGGTGTTGAAATATTGACACTTACATCTTTCGCGTCCTCGCCCTCCTGCTGCTGGTTTTCAACGGCCCACCAAAGATGACTTGCGAGGTACACGGCACGGCATTGGTCTGGTTTCTTTAGCAGTTTACTACCATGCAGCGCAGCCTTGGTGATGAGGGTATCATAATTTTCTTTTCCGAATCCCCTCGTTCCGTGTAGTGCGCTCGCCAGAATGCATACGGCTTGGAACTGCGCTCTTGAATCACTTATGGAATCTTCATAGATAGTAAACGCTTGTGCGAAAAATTCATAGCTAAATTCCTCGAAGCCAGCCTGGTCGGCCACTTGGCCACAAAGGACGAAGAGGCGAAGAGACAACTCAGCGCAGCCTGAATTTACTCGTTGATATAAATTGCTGATGCACTGGTGCATGAATCGGTAAAGTGTAGAGGATTGTGCTTGCCAGTTATCATCATAATGTTCACGAAGCTTATATTTTCGGGCTAGCTTCAAGGAGGAAGTAATTATAGCAGGTGTGGTATATCGAGTACGTTCGTTTCCCTCCGAATAAGCTTTACGGGTCTCTTGCAGAAGCTTTTCGGCCGATAGTTAGCATAGATAATGTGATTTTACAAGGGTAACACTCACCTTAAGCTGAGTGTCATTATCTGGGCCTTGGATGAAATGGACGATCCGTGCAAGCCATCCTTGTTCTTCAATCGTTTCTTCCGTCTCCCCTGCGCGCCGTTGCTGCTGAACACCCGGGTAGCCAATAGGCTGCTGCATACCCTCCTTTATTAGAACACTCAATATCTGTAACACACCATCGAGGTTTTCCGATGTAGAGATTATTGTCCGGTTTCGTAAAATGCCTCGAGCAATCTCGCCAGCAACAGCTCTCCGCGTGGGGTATGACTGAGCAGCAAACAGTGGGATATAATTTGGGAGTGAAAGCGCAGTAAAAATGGAAAGATATGTGCGGATCGGCGCTAGGAGTAGATTCAAGATATTGGATTGTGCAGCAATGGAGTGTAAATCGGCGCTATCAGCATGCTCTAATGTCTTCTTTGTTGCATACTCAAGAACTTGGTCCACGTATTCTGTACAATTGGTTAATGCCATAACTTGGGTGACACGGGGAGGAAGAACAGAGGTGTTTCCATACCTAATCGCTCGGGGTAAATGTTCCTGACTCTAGTTAGCCAACGCCACTATCACGGATGTAACGCTCAACTCACAAAGCTAGATTCACCAACGATACCAATAGAGCTATAGTGTCTTGGATCGGAAGGTTTCTTGTTCGGACTAAGCTAACAACTTGGTCGAAGAATATTTCATAGAGTTTGATATCGACTGGTAATTTGGATTTCGATCCTCCCTCGTCTTCGCCATTGGCAACGGGTGGGGGCTCTTGTTCTCCGTTTTCTGCGGTATCTGATTCCTTGTTGGGCTCCTTTGTCGTGGCGTCCTTATCCTCTCCAGAAACCTCCGTTTCAGGTTGGGGTTTCGCTCCTTCGTTCTCCTTTGCTAAACGCAATTTTTCCAGTAACCTAACAGTCGCTTCCTCTTCCGCCTGTTTCTTGCTCTCGGGGGTATCGTTATTGTCCGAGTCTCGTGCTGCATAAGAGGATAACCGGTCCATTAGACCTATGACAATCTTTTTCATATCAACATGGGGATTTAGTCTGGCTATGGCGGAGAGTAGGAGGTCAAGCGTATGCAAATGGTATTCATCGGGGAAGACCTTCGTCATTACTGTAGTATTCATCGAGTCAGTAATCGAAATTCCGAACTCTGGCCCGGATACGGTCCTCACCTTCCAGCAAATACTCCTGCGCCAATACATCACGGCATTGTACAACCTGCTCCAGAAGAGGCTGGAGTATTATCGTCTTATAAGTCTCCAGATCAATCAACTGGCTCAATCGTACCAAGTTACTTCCAACGAGAAGCTCTAGCTCCTTCCTCTCCTGTGTCCTAAGCTCCCGCTCCCTCGAATGGCCTTGGTGCTGTAGCCTCACCCAAAGTTTATTCATCTCCACGAAATTGGTCAGAATGAAGCTAATAGAATCCTGTATGTTGCCCTGCGGGCCATCTCCGGTACCGGTGGGTAGGTGATCCTTCGCTTGACCGGACAGATAATATCTTAAGAACAAACCACGAATAGGATGCTGAACACCCCTGCTCATTTCCATCATATCCTTCATTATCTCCCTAACCGGCGCATCCTCAATTCCCATGTAAACAGTTCCGACAGTGATCATGAGATACAGGCGCGGGATGATATTTCCAGCATATTGCACCAGCTCGTACAAATCGGCGAGATGGTTGACCGGGTGGCTCTCTTTAAGGTAGACGGATAGATGGCGGAGAGCGTCATGGACAGCCATGTACAGCTCGTAGTACTGCTTCGGGCCAAGACTAGGGGTACGGAGTTCGGAAACCAACGTCGACCTGGTATTGGGCGACGTCTGTTAGCAGCAATATCATTAATATAATGGGGTCCAGCTGAGGTTCGGAGGACTCATGAAGCCCTCTATTCCTATTTCCATTTCCACATACCCGCATTTCAATGCGTCCATGAGCTTCCCAGGAGTCTCCAGGCATCTTCGCATCATATGCGCCTGCTGTCGTACAACCCCTAGGGCGTCCTCAAGCAACCGACTCTGCTCCTCTGGAACATTCGGCGGGCTTGCCATTGTGGCAGAAGAGGGACCAACGCGTCCGGAGTCGATTGAACTAAGCTTGGGGGTGTATGCCGGTAGTAATTGCAAAGTCCGGTCTCGGGTATTTAGGAGTACGAGCAAAATGTTTACATCACAGAGAAAGGGAATCCAAGGATAGTTGTCTCGATAGCGGGTGTTGGATGGAAGGTCTTTCTACGCTGCCTGCGGTTGGATGTTTGCTCGATGTTTGTTCCTGGTGCTGACGACGGACACCAATTCACGCTATTCCGGAAAGAGGTTCCTCATGTGTTTCTGTATCGAACATCAACAAAACGACAGATTTATAATTATATCACGGCATTCGATTCCATTCGTACTATTAGGATTACCTAAGTGATGAATAGTTATGCCATCCATGCTTACCAAAAGCGTGATGATGAGATTATCTGCAACAACGTTGCCTCGTCGGCTTCCCGCCCATGTGAAATCTAGCCTCAACTGAACAAACGTGGTAACCTTTGAAATAAACTGAATGCATGCCCGTCTGGATACATGAAGACGGGATAATACGTTCCCAGCCAAGTTTCAAACACTTATTGGCTGCGAATATCCCCTTGACGTTTACCTCCAACACCCCCCAACACCCCGAGTGTTCAACCCCACCAACCCCCACTAGACGCCGAATTGGTGTAAGGATTTCACACTGTTAGACGATATCCTCATACCGGGCCGCAAAGAACTCAAGGTTTACTAGGTTATTAGACTGTCAACTTTTTCCAAAGGCCTGCTGGGTTCATATATTTATACATCTGGCGGAACGGTACCTACCTCTACCGATTCCCCGCTACTCTTCTCTCTACCAGAACTTGAATCTAAGAAACATGTCATGCTCTATTCTCCTTCGAATCCCCCTTGAGCTGCGCGAGGAGATAATCCAGTATGTACTATACTCTCTGCGTCCCTCCCCTGACGGTCCCTCTTACCCACATAATCGGGTACGACTTTTTGACGTCGGCTTTGATTCTTTATTATCCCTATTATCCCACCGTCTTAGACACGAGAAACCAGTGGAATGGACCATTCCCGCTGGGCAGGCCCTACTTCTTGTGAACCGCCAGATTGCCGCAGAGACGAGGGCCATCTTAGCACGGTATCCTCTCACATACCAGCTTGACATCATGATGATCCAAGAGCGTTATCTATGGCCAACGTGGTTGTCTGTACCCGTTCTTTCAAATAGAATTGACGAGTTAAAGATTACCTTCCGGACATTTGGCTCTGCTGTGTCTCCCCGAAATCATCAGCATATGTTCAGTTCGTCACCGACTGGCATGTTCGATTACAGACTATATACCAATGATCCTCCGCGGTTAGTCTTGTGCCTCCTTAGTGTTATCGAGCGGATTTTACTGCGGGGCGTGCCATTTCCTTCTCCAGCGCGGTTATCCAACACTAGCCAAGAATGGGATGTCAATACAATTGAATCTCTTTTGATTGTAGAGGATGACATTCTTCCCGAGGAGGACTCGGAGGAGCTAAGGGAGTGCATTCAAGCAAGGACGACTCTTGCACAGAGGATTCGAGACAGGGAAGTCATCATTGGCACACTTGTTTTGGATATACAAAGTCCGACTGCTTGGCACGGACAGACGACTCCTGAGCCTGAGGTTGGATTTGCCGAATGGAAGTCATATTCGTATCACTTCGCATACCAAGCATTTTCACCATTCGCCTTTGTGGATAGCTCCGAAAGCTCGTTGGTAACGGATATCCCCGTGGCAAGATCGGGGTGGCTTGCGTCAATGATATCTAGTGAAATTACTGCCTTGCTCCGTATGAAGTATCAAAGTATATTCTGCAATGATCTTATTTTCGAGCGCATCGGCCGTATACAGGTGAAGGTTGATGGGGTGCTATTCGCAGAGTTAAATCTCGACGAAATGCTGGCTAATTTACAGTTCACGGGGGGTTGGCTTCCTAGGGATACTGTGATTGACTCTGTGATTGACTCTGTTGACAAGCGCAGGTGGCAATTCTTCGGCTGGAAGGAGAGAACGAAGAGGTTCAGAATGAAACGAGGCTTGCCTGTTGTCCATGTCGGAGATTCCCTGGAGCTGTTCGAATCCCGTTTGCTATAACCAACGTCGAAGGTGGATGAGTATTATTAGATCCGCTTTCTGTGGCACTTTGCCAATATGATTGCTTTTGGGAATAGGAGGGTGATAGTCTTTCTCGAAGCCAGGTTCAAGTATTATGAATGCGTCTCCTGTCAGTATTGGAAAGTACTGGAAGTTGCTCTACTGAAGGGGACAGGGGTGTGAACCCTTCGGATGTACCAATCTTTCTGTGTAAATACGGAGAACTTCTAAATTCAAGTAATGAAATTTATTTTAGCGGGCGCTGTAATCTACCACCGAAACAAGCAGCCAGATGTAAAGCTCTCTCTAATTTCCTTCTAATTAATAAATTGATAGTGTTACATTAAGCTGCGTCAAGAAAAAGAACGAGGAAAACCTGCCTGAATACCCCAAACTCCATCTCTATATATTTATGTCTCTCTTCTAAATGATTCATTCAAAATTGCGGCACGCTGAAAAAAAATGCCTCATGTACTTCTTTCATTCAGGATCCAAACAGCCAAAAAAAAGGTATCCACTCCGTCGGAGGAAAATTCACACCAACCCCCTTGCCATACATATATTTCATCGATCATTAAATCATCATGCGTATTTCTTTTCGAGTTTGCGTCTTAATTCGGAAACCGGGCGCTTGGGGTTGGCAGATGGTAGGTTCCATTAACCGACCCGTATCTCGGCGGGGGTATGAGCGACGCAGCAGGATAAGAAATTTTGATCGTTGCGTGCGATGGCTGCGGACGGAACACGCCCGTTGGCCCTAGTTGTGTGTAAGAGAGCCTCAGGGAGGAGGGTCTGTATATTAAAGTGGTATTTGAAGATGCAGATGCCGATGGGAGAGACGTCGTTCGAGGCGGAAGGGTCGGCGCAACGGTCGTCCGTGTGGGCAGGCCTGACTTTTCACTTGATGGACGCTCAGTGGATGTCGGCGAGGAAGAGTCAGTCGTGGTGGTTATGGGAGCGACTGTTTCTGTGATTCGAGGGGGGATTGTGACAAGGAGGCCTGGGGGTGGGGTTTTTGTGGTTTTTGGGCCCCCATCAACAGGGACGACTGAGTATGGTACTCGTCTTCGTGGGACTAGCAGTTGTGGTTTGAGGGATAGAGGAAATGAATTTGCTACTGTAGAAAACATCGCCGCGAACAATATTATCAATATGTTAAGTCTCATGCTGAACGTCATTGCAGTCACCTTTCTTTGACAGCAGCTAATATCAAGATAGCCAGCTCCTTGCACTCAGTAGTGTGAACAAAAAGAGAAAGAAAGCACTTGGGAAGAATCCCCCACAAAGAATGCTCCAAATGCCAACTTCCCCCATTGTTAAATTGCAGAGGCTGGGCTGTTGCGAAATTCCGTCTGAGAAATGCAGTATGGAGATGGGTGGCTGGGAACCCAGCCATCTAATTTTATTAGTTCGCAGGCACAAGATACCCAAAAAGGGTGCTGGTTAGCGATATAATGCATTTTCATTATGATAAATCGTGGTTAACTAATCTGTAGTTTCCCCCAGAATCCTTTGGAACGTTGGGAGTTGACATGCAGAAAATGGTATTGAAACAATATCGAAAAAGTGCTGGATGAGGTGGATGAGACGTGAGGGCAGGGGTTGGCGGCGGTCAAGGTGCCAAGACATAGTGCCAAGCATAAGCGGGTATCATTTGTGCCCAGAATGCCAAGGTCCAGGGCAAATCGCGGGGTAGTATCATACTCTGTACTCCGTAACTACTCCGTACGGACTCTGGAGTACAGTACTGTACAAAACAACCCGGCAGAACTCTGAAGAGGAGTATAATTCACGGAGTACCTGTAGTAGTCATCATTTGCTCACAATTTATGGAGTACTCTATAATAGCTATGAGTTGCGAGGGTACATAAAATGGGAGTATGTACTCCGCAAGCACAATAGAAATTCCCAACTTCCACTTGAAACGATTTCCTTCACCGAAGAGCTAAGTCCTCAACCCGGAGCAAACCACAACCCATCCCTGCACATGCCCATCCTGCACATTCTTTATTTGGATTCCATGCGAGTGATGTAATCGCACTTCCTTCTTCAAAAATAGCTATCGCAAGGTTACCGTCTGCCATCCTCCTATCTCCCGTCAACTTTCTGGTTAGCATGGGTACTTCTGCCTTGAACCCATCATAAAATTTGCTAACCCCGGGCCCCGCAGTATCATCCTTCTGTTCAGTGCCATGTTCTTCGTTCTTGTTAGGAATCCATTCATGGCTAAACCACGTCTGCTGCCAGTTCTTCTCCTTGGGATTTATCAATCTGAGAACTGGATTCGTGACCGCGACAGTGCCGCTTACGTTACCGGCCAAAAAGGATGGGTGGCATAGATTCGCTGGCGTAATAGCTGATACCAAATCATACGTTTGTAATATGGAAGATGTAGAGAAGAACCGTCGGAGTGGCTGGATTCGAACAAATTCAGTGTCATCTGAGCAAATGTATGTTCGCAAGAAGGGCGAATATGATACTTCATATGAACCCACTCGCGAACGCGAAGTCTCTGTAACATCTGTTTTGGGATCTAGGAGGGAAAAAAGTTTTGTTTTGCCGTCCATTCCCGTCGTAACAAGTATATGTGGGTACGTTGGGTATGATGACGTGATATTGAGAATGTAGGAGGTATGGACAGGAAGGTATATGTACGGTGTTGGATTTGCGCCTAATTCGTTGGCATCGGATGGCGATGACAGACTCCAAACTCCAACAAACCCACTGGCAGTGCCAATCGCGAGGTCGCTCGGGGAAAGCCAACAGAAACAGGTGCAAAGTGTCGATGGTGGTTTAGCCTCAAAAGCAGGCGCGTGAACCTGGACTGTAGTAGAAACGTTAGACTTTTGACTATCTGGATGAAAAGAGTGACTTTTCCGAACCATATTCCGTCTCACTGGCCAGCTTGTTTAGTTGCACGTCCAAAACCTTGACACTCCCATCTCCCCAAACGCCTGCCAAAAGGCCGATATTGACACTCTCAACAATTTCATCTCCTCCTCGCTCATCCCGGCCCATTGGGCACCAGGATAGGCGCCTGATATCACCAGCATCTGTACATATTACTTGTCGTAAGCGCGGCTTGACACTCATATCAAGTTGTCGGACATCATTATCTTCTTTCGTAGACTCAAAGGACCAAATCTGTATGGCAGACGGATATGGCGGGGAAGGCGTAAAGGCTGGTGCACCCTGGGAAATCCCATCCAACGACTGTTTCTGCGAATCTGATATTGGAATCGCTACCGCAAGATATTGCGAACTCCCAGCACAGTTTGGCGCCCATGATACACACTGAACCTTATGGCCCAAATTCAGAATCCACCCTTCACGATTCCTTCGTGACCGAGACGCAGAACCATTCTGTACCTCAGACATTAGTTCAGTTTCGGGTAATAAAGGCTCTTGAGCCTCTACCGCCTGACGGGTCAGCTTATCTCCCTTTTTAGGGCGTCCTGGGGGTCTCCCTTTCGGTTTGATTTCACTCCATGCCTCGCCAAAGTCCAGCGATTGGCCCACAGCAAGCTCGTAGACTCTTTGAGATGATGCAGGTCCAATTATGACAGTGTGCTTTTTCGTCCTGGCCCGGCGCAAATAAGGTTTTCCTTCCTCAGCTGTGATACCCACTGTTCGTTGTCTTTTGCTAAACCGGCTACTGTTATTTTCGCCATAGTACCAATCCCAGCCAGATGTCGCCTCCTTGCGCAACATATCACCGCTCACCCCAAAAGCAGCTCCAATTTCGTCAATAGTCATGCTAAGCGCTTCCCGTAAAGTATCCCTACTAGGAAATGTCGCATCTCGACCTTTTGTCCATCTAGCTCTAGTATATATCATGGGCAACAAATCCTCATCGCTGGCGCCGAACGTTAATTTCAAGTAGGTCATTTTGGCACCATGCGCTGACGGTTTGTAGAGACCTCTTGAATGAGTAGCCATGGGATCTTGTTCCTCAATGCGTCCAACTGGCCTTGGTCGAGTTTTCTTTGCCTTGTCCGCTTCCTCCAGATCGGACCGCAAAGCAGATCCCATGTCGTCATCATCCACCATGCCTATTCACAAGTAAATATAGGTTCTCCACATCAATAAATTAGTAGCATAGATCTTACGTTCGGCATCATTATCTTGCTCTTCATATTCTTCATCATCCCCGCGACGCGTGCCCCGGCGTACTCTCTTTGCACCCCGGCCTTCCGTGTCCAGTTCATAGGAGCTTTCTTCCTCGTCGCTGCTTAATTGTTCAGATTCGGAGGATCCGACCTCAAGCCCTGTTGTGTATTTTGGAGCCGCAGCCCGTCGGCGAGGAAGCCTTCTCACAGACGACGAAGCCATCTCACATTGTAGTAGCACGCAACCGTTGCAGTGGACATTTGTTGAAAGAGCGGCCGGGATAAACGCTTTGATCCTCTGATAAATTACAAATTTCCGTTCATATCACCCGCAGATCTTACATCAATCCTAGGAAACGCGCCCATTGTGTATCTTCTTACTGGTTCCTTGTAGTTAAAGTTCAGGGCTATGTAACTAAATATTATAACTAAGTTAAGTTAGTTAGAACCCTTAAATCAACAGCCTAGTCCTATTTCAGTCAGCGACTAGTTATGCAGGAGACCCCCCAAGCACCTTACATACGCTGTAGTCTGAGGGCAGAATTTATTTCCAACCACTCATCTGGCTATCCCCACTGAGGTGTATGCAGATCTCAAGAGATCTTTTACTAATTACATGATTTTTGTGTCTACCTAGTCCTTGAAGTAACCCCTTTCCCAAGAATTCCTATATCTAGGGCACATACCCAGATGGATAATTAATTATTAAATAGATGCGAGAACACAGTGTAATAAGCGTCCCCACATTGTTTAAGTTTATTTAAGACCACAATTATTCATTTCCAGACGATGTCGATCTCGTTCCAAGCAAGCTTCCAACCGGGCATCCTTCATAATTATGTATGAAAGAACTGACCCCCAAAAATAAACCCCACATTCTTAAGATGGAAGGTAAATGGACTGACCAAGTTCACTGTTTAGGCACCAAAACTCACGGCTTTTGAATATGTGTCTGACCCAAACACCAAAGGTCACAAACCTCATAGCTTATTATTCATCGGCGGGTTAGGCGACGGTTATTACACCGTGCCATTCGTCAACGATATCACCGCAGGTCTCGAATCTGGGAAATGGTCCGTGTTTTCTGTGCAATTATCGTCGTCATATGATGGATGGGGACTGGGCAGCCTAGACAGAGATGTCGACGAGATCGGTAAATGTGTTGAGTACGTGAGAAAGTACAAATCTGCCAGTGCGTCTGGAAAAGTTGAGGAGCCGGAACCGGGCAAGGTTGTGATAATGGGGCATTCCACCGGAAGTCAGGATGTGCTCCATTACCTCTATTCCCAGAATCCAGGTCCAGGGTCCACGGCTCTACGACCCCCTGTGGACGGAGCTATTTTGCAGTCTCCCGTTTCGGATCGAGAAGCCATAATGAATATCATAAAATCGGGGAATGCTCATGACTCCCCGGAGGAGCTTACTGAGGTATATAACAAACTCGTATCCTTGGCAAAGAGCCAAAAGGCCGTTGGGGGAATGGATGCTCTCATGCCTCTTTGGATGATGGGGAAGGTATTCTTCCCGGCGGCCGTCACCGCGACAAGATTTCTGAGTTTGGCAAGTCCAGATAGCCCCGACGCTCCAACGGAGGACGATCTATTTAGCTCCGATCTTACAGACGCTAGACTTCAAGAGACGTTTGGTATGATTTCGTCTGGCGGGCTGTTGAAGAAATCACTTCTCGTTCTGCCAGGTGGTGCCGATGAATATGCAGCTCCTTGGCTCGATAAAGAAAAGCAACTGGAAAGATGGAAGGCGGCAACGGTGACGGGCTCGTCAAATCCGGACATCTGGGACACGAATAGCGGCATAGTCGTTGGAGCTACGCACTCGCCGAGCGGGCCAGATCAATCCCAGGCGCGTGAGGACTTGGTTTCAAGGGTTAAAGGCTTTTTGGCGAATATTGAGAGATAGGGTTGGTATTTCCTATGCACTATTCTATGGTCGGGGAGACTAGAGCAACAGTGAGTGCGGGACAAGGATTGCCGCAGGATTCCCGGAGTAGATTCATGGAGTTCGCTACATCCCATATTGACCGATACCTCGACCATGCTCTTCTTTTAAAGTACTGGAATCAAATTAAACAACAATAAAAATTGGTTATGATAATAGTGCAGCTGAGCAATAGGACGATATGTATAATCGCAAATTATAAAGGGGTATTATTTACAAGCAGATAAAGCGACCACTGAAATATTTTGTAAACACTCAAAACGAAACCTGGACCTAAAACCTGTTTATGACATTTAGCTCTGACAAGAAAGCCCCATCGTCCGTTTCCTAATACCCGTTATGTGTAGATGCAAAAAGACATAGTTGCCCCGACCCTGAAGTAAACAGATACGAGGAGAAAAGAAGGAAAGGGGCCAAACAAAAGGAATTGACTAAACTTTCAGCCAAAGCGAGAAGACCCCTTTTAAGTACTCTACGATCTCGTCACCACCAAGTTTGCTCTCACCATAAAGACGATCAACAAACGTAATCGGACATTCCTCAACCTTGAATCCCATGGCCTTGGCACGAACCATCATTTCCATTTGAAAGGTATATCCTTTGCTCTCCGTGCTCTTAATAACCTTCTCGAGAACGGGTTTTCTATATAACCGGAAACTTCCCGTCAGATCGCTGACTCCGGGCATCAACATCACGTCCGCAATCAAGTTTGCCCCTCTGGAGGTGAGCTTGCGGACCAGATCCCAGCCATAGACTCCGCCACGCAGATCCCCACGAGACGCATATCTGGTCCCGGTAACAATGTCGCAGTTTGTTTCCTTCTGAATTTTGATCATTTCAGGAATAAATTTAGGGTGGTGGCTGAAATCGGCGTCCATGATGATGACGAAGTTGCCAGTGGCTGATTTCAATCCATGGACATAAGCAGTTCCAAGACCTAGCTTCCCTTCACGAGGCCTCAGGACGATATGCTCCGGGCCCCAGAGCGTTTGGAGCTGTTTTGCGACCTCTAATGTTCCATCCGGAGATCCATCATCAACTATGATTACCTCCCAATCTAGGTTACTAAAGACGAAAGTACGTGACAAAATTAGATTCCCATTCAGATACTGATAAGCATTGAGGAAACTCTTACATCTCTCTGAAAGTTTTCTCAATTAGCCAGCAGATTATGGGTAGGTTCCTGCGCTCGTTGTAGGTAGGGAGAATGACAGAGTATTTGGTGTTCTGTGAAGACATGGTGGTGCTATGGCGAGTGAAACAGGGGGATTCGTAGAATTGGGAGACGGAATTCTGGTCCACGACTTGGAGGGTTGGACGGTATCGAGGACCACGGGTGGGCATGCGGAGCTCTGCTGTTTAATGGGTAGAGAGCAAGAGATACAGTTAGAAAGTGAGCGAGAGCAATTGATGGCGAGCTTGTGATAGGTGGTAGAGATGACATCGATGATGCTGAGGTTGCATGTTGCCATGTTTCCGTTTTAGGGCAAGGGCGACAGGGCTACTGGTCCGTGCCCGTTGAGCTTAAATAAACCGTGCTCACCGCCTGGCAGAATTACTCAGTCTTCAACCTCCATCGAATTGCGCTGGTTGCTTGGTGATGTAACTGATGTTGATGTTATGCATAGGCATCCCAGCACTCTCCGAGCCTCATATGGAATAGATATACCTATATTCCCTGCCTGTTGGTCTGTGTTGAGCGTTATTGGAAAAGAATTCAATCTGCAGCGAATTGTATTCCCAAACTTGATTTCACTACAATAATGGACAGCCCCGGGCCCAAACATCGGAATGCTCCAATAAAAGGTACAGTACACTCTATCCTGTCATCTGTCCTACATTATCAAAGAAATTATTTGCTGATACTTGTGTGAATTCTCACATAGCTGCCCGGCCGCGGAGCTCCACCAAAGGGCCACTGGATGCACCAGATGAGTATGATATAGCCTCTCCGTACTCCTGCTCCCTCTTCTAGGAACTTCTGGCTAAGAAAATGGTGTGTACCAAGCTCTAGTACCCCTACAACAACACTCCCCACAAGACCAAAATCCCAACATCTTCCAAGCCGCTCGAGTCCATCCCCGACTTCCCCACATCCTTCGTTGTCCACGTTGTCAACCATAGATATCATACCCTTTCCTGTGAATAAGAACCTATCATTCCTCCTGCGACCCGACATCTACCATCCTCTATCGCTACTAGATATATCACCGGCGTTCCGTTCGGAATTCCCCACGCCTTCTCCAAATGAACCTTTAACTACTTCCCTAACGACTCTTGATAATCTCTTGAATGCTGGCCACTTCCTACTTGCCGCTCATTTCTCAGCGACCATTTTATCATCATCCGCAATACCCCACAATGACCAAAATACGATATTTTCTCTCTTATACATCCGACTTGCATGCCTAGAGCTGACGGGAAATAGCCTGTTAGCAGCACAGGAAGCAAAAGCGCTGGAGGATTTAAATTCTGCGTTTTACATTGTCGATACCAAACTAGAAAACGAGACAGTAGCCAAGGACGCTTTTCCAGCTGACCAGGCTCGACATATCGTCCCATGGTCACTTCGTGTTCTTGCAGCGAGGTTACAAAGCATTGGATTCGGAGACTCAAGACGAGGTATTGCTGCCCTATACGAGCTTGGATTAGAAGCTAGGAAGCAACTATCACGCCAGGGACTTACAGAAGATGAGAGAAATGTTTGGAAAACAAGATTAGAGGATTTAGGTATCAGAGTCGTGAATTCATTAATAGAAATGAATGACTTAGACGCTGCGCGGCGGTCGCTCGCAAACTTGAAAACCCCACCTAAGGAGCAAGCTTTAGCGACCACACGGATGGCACTGCTGTATCTCAAGATTGGCAATGTTGAATCTGCGCGAAAGCTGTTAGATGATACTTCAGTCGAGGCAGAGGGGCCTTTGCACTGCCTGTTAGCCATGGCAGAAGGTCGATATGCTGATGCAGTCGTGGGGTGGGAAGCGCTTCGTGCAAGCCATATTGGACATGAAGATGAAGCTATAATTGCACAGAACCTTGCTGTGTGCTTATTATATACAGGCAAGCTAAATGAGGTATGTTGCCCTTTAGCTCATTTGAGGATGACGGCAGAAACTGATTATATGTCACATCTATAGTCTCGCGACCTTCTTGAATCGTTGGTGAACAACAATCATTCTTTTCGAAGTCTTACGTTCAATCTAGCTACCATATATGAGCTATGCTCTGAAAATTCTAGGTTTCTCAAATTCAACTTGACTGAGCGGATTGCCAGCCAACCCCCGTCGAGATACCGGAATTGGGAAAAGCCAAATGCGGATTTCAAGATATAATAAAGGTGCCTTTCGCCATTAGAGAATAATTCCTAAAAAGAAGCAAAACCCAACCCAAACGCCGAAACTCCACGCTCAAAGTCTAAAGAAAGGACCATCCACCCGGGCTGCCAATGGCAGTTTAATTGCATCACATATCGTGCGAGCGGCAGGCCAAATATATATTTATATATATAGGCAACGCCAAGTCCGGACATTCCTGCGCGCTGTTTGTTACTTTTTCGGTTCAACATTTGGCTTCCTGACTCTTATCAGAACTTTATCACCTTCTCTTTTCCATCCCAGGCCTTCCCTTTCCACCAAAGTTTCCCATGTCCAACCTTCATTCTCACCCGCGCAGCATTCCACCAAGTAATTCACGTCCACTGACAGATATGCCCTCCCCACTGCTTTCAATGCTCGCCTGCGTACACTGTCGACCGCCCAATTCAGTAATGCCTTTGTGTATGCATTCTCGTTCCGTTTGGTTCTCCAAAATAGCACCCAGTTGTCATGCATTATCGCTCTGAGAACATTGTCAACGGAATTATTGCGATACCCGAATGCGACTTTTGCACGCGCTCGGAGTTCATATGCAGCCGGCATATCGTCTTGTCGGCAAGCATAGTCAAGGATCAAGTAGGTCGTGAACTCGTGTAGGTCAGATGGGTCCAGCGGGTTGGTAGACGAGTGAAGGTGCTTCAGCAGGCGCTGTAGCGGAGGGTAGTATGAAGGTGGGTGCTGAGCGAGGATTGATACGCGTATGCAAAATATATGGACGCGCTGAGAAAATGCGATGGGGGTTTTGGAGCTCGTTGCTAGAATGGCTTCCCTCAGCTTTCGGAGGGAAAGGAGGAGGACGGAAAGTTCTTCAGCCGGCGGTGCATGCTGCTCTAGTGTGGTAGAACTTTTAGTCCCCGCCGTCGGAGAAGTAGGTTTGGTTGGTGGTTTTGGTGATCGGGACCGAGACCTAGCTCTAGACGCTGGTCTTATTGGTATAGGTACAGGAGGGTTTTTGGTTGGGTCTTCAGAACGATTTCTAGGGAGTGAGCCGAATGCGGCATCGAGGTTGCAGGAATGGACGTTGCAAAAGTGTACATATCTGTCGACAATCTTCTTGTAATACTGTTCCTGGGCCTTGGGTTCAAGAAGCCTGCATAAAACGCGTTGGTGAATCCTAGTCACGAAAGCAAATATATATATATCCATTCGCCCTTTGGTATTTTGAGAACATCACCTACTTTGTATCTCCCTTTGAAATAAACCCGACCTGGCTGAGCGAATCAACGCCGGATTTATTTGCTGTGCCCCAGCTGGCAGTAGGCTTTCGTAATCGTAACGTATCCTCCATCGCGTGTTTTAGAAAGCAATCTTTGTCTAAGTTGTGCCGAGTGTGATTCGGTCATGGCGCGCCATTCTGGCCCAACATCTCCTGTGATGGGATGGAATAATTGCGTTCGCTGGGGAAGCTTCGAACCACCCGCATGTTTGTCATGTTTGCACAACGCCCCGGCCAACTTAGTTAACTTCAACCTTATCAACTTCGAAATGTTTTTTGTTCTCAAGACTACTTCCATTCGATTGAATCGCAACGGTAGCAGCATGTCGCTGTACCAGCGGGCAAAAAAAAATTCCTGCCAGAGGGAAGGCCATGGGCGTCTTTCCCGCTTCTCAGCAAACGAGTCTGTGGTAGAGAAAGCGACGGATACAGCCACCGAGATAGCATCCAAGATACGACGGACGGTCCATTGGGATGAATTGGAAAGTTGGCAACGAGATAACCATCTCATCCACACGGGATACCGGCCGGCATCCGGTTCTTTTACCGTGTCCTTTCGTTCACTGGGATATGTGCATAACGAAACTGTGAATATCTACACCCACCTGCTACCAGCCTTATCAGCAATACCACTCGCCTTCTACCTCTACAAAGCCATTTCCACCAGATATGATAGCGCTACGCATGGCGACGTGCTCGCGTTCGGCTGCTTCTTCGCCGGGGCCGCTTTCTGCCTTGGTATGAGCTCCATCTACCACACGATATCCAATCATTCTCCCGCGGTGGCGCGCATCGGGAACGCGATGGACTACATTGGCATCGTTGCCTTGATCACAGGCAGCTTTATCCCAAGCGTGTATTATGGCTTCTACTGCGTGCCCAAATTCATGAAAATGTACTGGACCATGATATTGCTGATCGGGGCCGGGTGCACTATCGTCTCGATCACGCCACGCTTCAGAACCCCTGCCTGGCGGCCGTTTCGTGCTGGCATGTTCATTTCCATGGGGCTCTCCGCGGTCTTCCCTGTGCTACATGGTATATCGATATTTGGGGTAGAGCTGATGTTGAAGCAAATAGGGCTATTCTGGCTCGTCCTGCAGGGCGCTTTGTATATAATTGGAGCCACTATATATGCTGCGCGAGTTCCCGAACTATGGTATCCTGGCGGGTTCGATATCCTAGGAAGCTCGCATCAGATATTTCACATGTTTGTTGTGATGGCGGCAGTCGCACACTTGACTGGTCTTCTGCAGGCGTTTGACTATCGGCATAGCGGTTTGGCTTTACCGTGTCTGTAATTTATAGAAACTCAACTCATAATGTACAATGTATTTTTAAATATTAGACGATATCAAGTTTCTTTCTCTGCAATTATGGGTTGTATCTGAAATTTAGTCGAATAGCCGGATTTTTTACTATTAAAGTTTCAACTAGCAAACTCACGGAAGATTTAAGTAGGTAACTAGCTCTCGTCGTGATTGACACCACATTCTAATAATCGGTAAAACTCCGTGATTTCAACTCCATTCCTGTAGCCATCGTGCCGGAACCGAGCACGATTCACCCGTCATGCTTCGCAGGTTTCTATGTCTTCGGACTCTCGCCAGTATCGGGAGCGGCAATTAAAGGTTGGCTCCATCGCTGTCCCTCGGCAGTCGGCGCAGGGTCCGGGGTAACTAGCATCAAACATAGCAATTCCCCGCTGGACAAAGACCTACATAACCAATCAATTGCCGGTCAACGTTGTCTCTTTTTTCTTTTGTAACTACGCAGCGTACAACATATATTTACAGAGTGCCCTTTGTTAATTTATTGTTTTCCGAAGTAATCACTACTTCCCTGCTTCCTCTCAGCGTTGCTCCGTTATTTATTTAGTTACCTTATCACCATGGCCCCTCAAGACCGCATTGCACAGGTGTCCTCCCACCTTAATTACCCGCAAGGTCTGCTTGCTGGCCAAGTTGCTATTATTACTGGGGCTGGCCAGGGTGTTGGTGCTGAGGCCGCCCGCCTATTTGCCAACGAGGGAGCGAAGGTTGTTGTTGCGGATCTCGATGCCAGTCAGTAAATAAACCTATGTTTCCATGAAAATTTCGAGTAAACGAAAATGCTCTGCGGTCTGCTTCAAGGGAAGTGAAGGGAAGAGAAGCTAATATTGTCCACACAACTGCAAACAGAAAAAGCAGAGGGTGTTGTGAAATCGATCAATGATGCCTCGCCTGGACGAGCCATTGCGGTCGTAGGCGATGTGACTGATCCAACATACGCGAAAACGGTAGTGCAGAAAGCTGCGGAGTTCGGCAATGGGAAGATTCACATCATCGTTAATAACGCTGGATATACATGGGATGGTGTTATTCATAAGGTTAGCTAAATATATAATCGTGCTCCTCGCCGCCCACACTCTATATATATATTTAGATGCGGCGGACCCGTTGCGCCGGATACATATGGGCAATGGCTAACTAAGCTATTAATAATAGCTCTCTGATAAGCAATGGGAGACCATGATCGCCGTCCATGCCACGGCCCCCTTCAAACTCGTCCAGGCCGCCGCTCCATATTTCAGAGTAAAGGACGGCGCGGACAGAGTAATCGTTAACATCAGCAGCACCAGCGGCATCCACGGAAACCCGTAAGTTTCAAACCAACCCCCCCCCCCCCCCCCAAGAAATGTCCCCTGGTCGCCGTCACTAAAAATAACGCGCACACAGTGGTCAAGTCAACTACGCCGTCGGCAAAGCTGGCATGGTCGGCCTTACCAAGACCATCGCGAAGGAATGGGGTCCACAATTCGGCGTGCGTGCCAACACCGTTGCCTTCGGCTTGGTGCTTACACGGCTGACCGCAGCCAAGGAGGGTGGTGCCTTCATCACAACACCTGACGGTGAGAAGGTCGCTCTTGGAATCCCTTCGTCCCAGTTGGCGGCTAGGGCTGGGACCGACGAGAAGGATAAATACCCCGATATCCCGCTGAGAAGAGGCGCCACTCCCACGGAGGCGGCAAGGTCGATTTTGGCCGTTGTGAGTCCCCTACTTAGCTATGTTAACGGACAGACTATAATGGTTACGGGAGGGCGGAATATGTAAGCTCTGTTTGTTTGGTAGTTATGTAAGCGGCGGTACTGGTTGATTGGATAGGTTTCGCGTTAGTCTTGAGATATATTTTTGTTAATTATATGCGAATGTAGACTTGTATTTTGTGAAAGCTTTTTTGTGCTGCACTCCTTTAATTTACTAGTTCATTTCCCCCCCGTTCCACCTGTCGAATCAAATGGAGGAGTCGATGGCAAGCTCTATCTGGGAAACCGCTGTGGATCTAGTGGGGAGATTCGTTGAATTCGAAAAAGGCGTGCTTGAGTGTATAATACGCGATATGTATCCGGTAGGTTGTGCCACGTATTCGGAGTATGCACCTCACCTGGCATTGCATACAGAACTTGAAGCGGTATCCTATCAAACTGGGAACGAAAATAATTTGGAGCGACCCATGCATCACAACTTAACGAGGCTCTGTAAACTGACTGCATAGAGGCCTTACTATTCACCGATTGAAAAGTTTCCTAATTACAATATGGGCCTTTATTCCGACACGCTTGTAGGTAACAGCGCCTGGCCTTTATGCATAGATGCATGCAGGGCAAGTTATTATTGTATGGACAGATAAATCGACGATCAGGTAGTGAGCAAATCCAGGTACGTAAAATGAACAATAGTGTGTTGGAAATAGTGAGGCGGAAGCCCTATATGGTTGTAAACCGTGTTCTCGGGTAAAAGTAATAAGACGAACCAAGTTGGGTATCAGTAATGTACGAGCATTGGAGCGCAAGATGTGAAAGCGGACATGAGAATAATGGACAAAGGTGAGGAGAAGAGAAGAAAAAGGAAAAAAAAAACCGGAAAATCGCAAAAATCCTTCAACAAGATACCGACCAACTCCGAAAAAAAAAAAAAAAAAATATGCAACAATGGACACGAGCCGCCAAACCGAAGAATAAAAACACCCCTTTCTATATGGCGCCATTAGAAAAATGAAATTCCAGGACGGTCCTGCCCGTACTTTCGTTTTGTTACGGTACGCGAAATCCAACGCCAAACGTAGTAATTTGCACCCTTAGTAGACCAAGACAAACTCTCGACAAGAAGTCAAACCTCGTGCAGCTCCGTGCGGACGCGAAGAAGTCAAAAAGATAGATATGTTATTACAGGGCATAAGAAGAAAGGAAATAGCCCCCGAGGAGTAAACAAAAAGAAGGACAAATCCGGGAAGCGAAGATTAGGAGATAATGAGCGAAGCATGTACACTGATGGAAGGTAATGGCAGTCGAGAAAACATGTTAGGAAAAAGGGATTTCCAAATCGGATAATGATTGATATTTCAGGGAAGGGGCAGGAATTCACAACTCCACTAGCTGTCCGTGCGGGTAAGACAGGACCAGCAACCGTTGTTGGTTCCTGTGGTAAATAAAGTTGTATTAGGACATAATAGGTAAATCCCGCGGGATGGTCCAAAAGGGTATGAACTCCTTGTGCATGGGCACTTTCCGTATTTTGTTGAGTTGGTCGTTAAAAAGGTATTCGTTCCGTGGTTCTGCATTAAAAAAAAATTATGTAGGTTTCCAATAATGTCCATGGTGAAAGGAATAAATGAGGTCACGAAGACATGGATCTTCCTCAATATACGGCAATGACGGGTTCCATGGGATGTTGCTGTGCAAGACTCTTCTCAGCAATGTCGGTGAAAGGTACGAAGGATCCCCAGAAATTAGATGGCATGGGAGGCACATATTTCAAGTGATTCGGTGCTTGGCTGCAAGGCGCATACTCGGATGAAGACGAAGAAGAAGATGATATAGAGGAGCCGCCGTCGGAGAGAGAAGCCTCAGAAATGGCTGACATAGAATATTCGGCTTCGATGGGCTCTGCTGGAGGCGAGACTGGGTAAGGAACAAAACTAACAGGGCAACGGGAATTCTTCTGGTATTGATAGCTCTGGCAAGGTGGTGTTGGTGGCATAGATACGGGAGTTCCATGCCGCAGAGTGAACCTCGGACACTCCACAATCAATTTCCGCAGCTCCGAAATTGAAATTCGCTTTTGGGGATCGCATTCGAAAATGCGCCTCAAAATGGAATTCAGTTCGAATGATAAGGGCAAAATTGTCCGGAGAAATTCCGGGTCCTTAAGATACGCACGGAAAGTAGAATCTTCGGTGGATGCTCGTTTCCAAGGATTCCGCCCACAGGTTAAGTTGACGAGGATAACACCTAGGCTCCATACGTCATTTGGTGCAGAAGCATACGGTCGAGTCGTAGATTCTTGACACTCTATATCGCAGTTAGTAGAGTGAAAAGTGAAAGTAGTTAAGTGTTTGTGTGTTAGGGCCGGACGAGGAAAAGGCAAGAAGATTATGAAGTATCGAAAATTACCTGGTGACATATAGAACGTCGAGCCGCATCCGAAATCCGAGGTGTAGAAATCGGTTGTAGCAAGGCCAAAGTCGGCCAGCTTAACCGTCATTCCATTATCGGCAACCAAAATATTCTCTGGTTTGAGATCCCGGTGATAGATTCCAATGGAGTGACAATACTGCACGGCATCCAAAATCTGGAGGAAAGCTCGCTTGGTAAGGAAATCGTTTCCAACAAACTGACCTCTCTCAGTAATATTGGAGAAAAGATCGCCTTCTGGGCAAAACTCAATAACAACAAAAGTACAATCAAGAGAATCCATTATGCGGACCAAAGAAACCACATTGGGATGCTGACTAGCCAAATGATGGAGTTTGATTTCCCGTTGCTGAAACTTCCGCTGCCTGGAGTCGAGTCCTGCCTTGTTGAGAGCTTTGACTGCGTACGGCACATGGGTATGGATGTCGATAGCAGAATAAACAACACCGTAGGCACCTACCCCAAGAACGCTTGTGAGTTCCAGCCGGTTGGCGAGCAGCAAACCGAGCCTATCCTCTGGAGCATCGCATATAGAAACAGGCGGTGGTGATTGTGGGGGTGTTGGCAACATTGTGGGGTACATTTATCCGGGCCGGAGCTGGGGGTCGGACGGAGGCGCAGTAAACAAATGGGGATGCAATCAGTGTCAATTTCCACAAGTGGTGACTGGATGGGTTCAAATGAGGAGATATGGCAAATCTGAAGTCCAAAAGGTAATTGGGGATCCTGATCCTCAAAGCTGGTTGTATAATATATAAGAAAACAAGTAGTTCGTCCAATATATATATATATATATGTCAAAGGAATGATTGTGGCAATCTTGCCCAGCTAAAAATGCCCACAACCAAAACAATTAAAATGAGTTTGTTCGACGAGGATAAGTAAAAAGGAGAGAGAGAGAGAGAGAGAGAGGTTGGAAAGCAGGTGGTTAAAAGATAAGGGGGGAGAGAAAAGGAAGGGGGAGAAGGGAGCTATGGAGGAACAAAAGAAGGGGACTGACTGACTGGGCTGGGAGGAGGGAGGAAAAGGAGGGATTGTGGCAGGTAGATGAGGATGAAGTTAAAGGCAGAAGAAGAACACTATTATTGAGGCCATCGCTGATCATGGAAGGCGAACAACGGCGGTAGGGTAGGGTAGGGTAGGGTAGGGTAGGGGTAACTAGGGATGGATGATTGCGAGTAGTTCAAGTTCCCACACTCCTCTCCTGACGATGCGATGGGTCAAAGTACTAACTTCCTCTCTCTCCCTTCCTTCGTATGATCTTGAAGCTTTTGCATGCGGTTTAGTCTGGGCCCACACACAATTCAGAAATAAATCAACCATCTCCACAATGCCACGGCCCCTGCTCCTTTTAAAACTCTCGCCCATTGACTCTTGAGGCAAGGCGAATCAGGCTGCAAATAGGAGGCAAGGGTACCACAACACCATCCGCCCATGGAACGGTGTGAAGGTGAGTCCGTCGTTGTGCGAGGGACCAAGGACTCACAACAAGAGTCGCCTTTGGGGTCATCCCAGTCACCTATCTTATTGGTCATGCTGCGTGGGCCAATCATCTCAGAACACCGCGAAATTGATGATGAGTCGGCACTTGCGGGAAGTCCCAGCACTCCTGTCTTATCCCGGAGCCAATGCATGAAGCATGGGCTAGCTGGGGTACGGGGCAAATAACCAAAGACTCGAAGAGCCCGTCCCACTCCCTTAGCGCGGTCGATGGCTCCAGCCGTGATTCTTGAACCTGCGAGAAAGAGGCTTGGAAACATGCTAGCTAGCTTGATCCTTGAACCCATTAACTTAGTTACCATATAGTTAACTACCTCTGCAGGCGCAGGCTTGCATGAAGGTTGTGCCGAGCAGCGCCAACAGAAGCCCGCCCTGAACTGTTAGTGTACACGCCATTAATAATAATTATTGAACTAAAAAAGAAAAGTAAAAGCAAAGAATGAAAGAAAGATCAAGCCCACTCCAGAAATGAAAGATGATTCTGATTGGAGATGGTGGATGCTCTCACGAAACCATACGACCAACGAAGCCAGAGAAGGGGCTATTTTAGCCCCTCTACGAGCAGGGACACTTGGGGGCCCATACTGAATAATGACTTACGCTGTATCAGCCAATTTATTCTATTTTCATATTTTTTTTTTTTTTCATATTTTCATATTATATATATATTTTATTCTATATTGTAGCTATTGTTTGAATTTCCATGAATTTATTTTATGTTCTTTTTAAGGCATTAACTGACCGGGTATACCGCAAAGAATCGAAAGAAAAAGGGAATCTCGAAGACTGGGCAAACGGAAAGCCAAATTGTGCTGCGGCGAGCATTGTCATAGTTATTAGTGAGTGTTCTTGCTATGGGCGGCGTTGTTGGTGTGTGGTGTGGGCGTTTTTCGCTTTTTTTGGCTAGCGCTGCCTGGGTGCTGGTCTATCATCGATGATCCTACTATTATTATTATTATATTATTATTGACCTCTTGAGCAAGCATGAAAAGAGCATCGAGTCAAGGAGGCAGAAGTGTCCTTAGGGGCGGGCCATTCATCGCCCCGAATGAATCATCGATGCTCCAATACGTGGCGGGCCGCGATGCTCCGTGCCCTTCTTTGAGCGTAGTTTCCAGCACAGGCTAGCAACACCGCCCCTTGTGTCCTAGTTGCGCAAAGTGGTATCAAAGCACAGTCATCAGTCTTCCAAAGCAAGGTGGTGGTGGTGGTGGTGGTGGTGCAGGGTTCGCAGTTTTGTAGCAAGCTAGCTGATTGGGCCTGGCCCATGACACTCAAGCAAGGACTGAGAGACAGACATTATTATTATTTATTATTATTGCTCCGTTGATTATTTCATAATTATTATCGTTAACTATCTCGAGCGAACAAACTACTCGTGCCAGCCGGCGATTATTTCTGGTAGTTTGGTAACCCCCGAAACTCAGGAACCATGAGCGACTTCCAAGAATCGCCCGTGTTTTGGTCTGTTGACCATATCATCCATGTCCGTCATAGATTTGTGCACCGTCATCCTTCTGCCACCATCCAATGCGGGGGCCCGTCTCTCGAACAGGCTTCAGTGTGCTAAATTAGAAACGGTTTCAGAGGCGCCGATGGCAGTCAAAATGCTGCAAAACTCTTTAAGTTCAAACAGGCAGGCCATACATTAAAGACTCCTATCAACAAAATGACCGAGTGCAAAAGGTCCCCTCTCATTTCTGTTGTTTCGACAGGCCGCCCTTGTTTTTCCGCGCAGTTCTTATCAGGCGAGAGGTACGCCAAGCAGTGGCAGATACGATCCTTTTCCTCAACCTTGTAGTTGAAATATCATCGAACTGATTATTGTAAATGACGCTGCCCGCAAAAAGCTTGACGGATGAATCTTCTGAGCTGATATTATATCAGTAACAAAAGTAAAACTCGAAATAAACATCCGCTTTTAGGGCGAGGTTCGTGGGAGCGTTAAGAATTTCCCGGTTGGGTTTAATAATGATATTCAGTTTTGCCTGTAAATACCCAAAGTAATGAGAGGGCCAGAAGTTTTATTGTTTATGAGGAATCCGTCCGCCACCGAGTTCATCTTTTACCCAGTACTCCGTACTCCGTACTCCGTTCTGACAGACCCAATTATTCCCCAGGTGGCTTGTGAAAGTTGTGATGGTTCGACGATGGCGGACCATCAAACCCAAAAGTTCATGGGATGATGCATTCCTGGGGTTACTGGATGATGGCGTCCGTGGAGCTGGTATTGATCAACAATTTTTTGAAGTACTGATTGGCATGTTCTAGGGCTAGTATGACAATTCTAGTGAGCTGTCCAGGTGGGTGGTGGAGTTTTAATGCCCAACCAGCCGCTCGTTCCAACATCCAAGTGGCTGGCATCTCTGCAGGTCGGTGGGTGGGCTGGAAGAAGTTTTCCATCCCGCGATGAGGTGAGGTGAGAAGAGCGTGCTGAGAATTACTGAGGGCGATCATCCCCAGCAGGAGAGTCGCTTGGACAAAACGCTTACGCTGTAGAACTGTTGTAGCGCCTTTTTTTTCTGTCCGAAGAACTAGAGTTATTTTTAAGGGGCTGTCGAAGCTTTCCCGATGTACTACTACTGTACCTACCTCCTCTCGCCGCTCGGGCACGAACATCCAATGAGGTCCCATAGCACTCGAAAGGTGCAGGGCGCGTACCCTACCCCTCACTTGCCACCAAAATAATAGGCGAGGCTTTGAGGAGTCTCTCTCATGCAATGCTCGACTAACTCATGGTTCTTAGTAATAAATTTAATCCTAACTAAAGGCTGGATTCGCTGGATTCAAGAATAATAATAGACACATAAGAATCATGAGGGTCCCTTTCCGTCCCACAGGCTTGTCTACCACCTTTCAACCAGGCTATTAGTTATCAGATTGATGCCGTGACTTTCCAAAGTGTTGGCAAAACTCCCATTAGCTGGGTTCTGGAAGATTCCAAGGTCTCGTTCTTCCCTTGGTGAACTCCTTTGGTGGAGGCGATGTTGAACACTTTTGAGTCGTTTTGGACCTGCTGATTGGCACTTCAGCCTCATCTCAGAGGCGTGTATACGTCATTTTGGGGACCGCTTTGGATACTGGCCAATCATCAGTGACAAGTAATATTTTGCCGCTCTTACCTGCGTGTTGGATGACATATCACATGATCTACAGTAGGGCGCTGTGACAGAGTAAGAACCGTAGAAGGGCATGAAGAGGCGAAATGATCATGATTCCTCAAGATTAGAGATTCAAGTCGTCCTGTTGCCGCTTCGGATTTCGGGGCTTTCCGAAACACTATTTTTGTCCCGCATTTTAATTGCCTCAATGTATAGTACACTAGTACTTTTTGACTTCTGAGCTTGAACGATCACTGCTTTTTACTTATATTATAGTTCTCCAATGCGATCGTGATTATCACCCTAACCTCCTGGTCTTGGTCCGGAATCTGGCCCATACACAAGTTGACTCTCTGAAATTTGCTCAGTAGCTAGAATCCATGCATTCATGTAGGCAGCGCTTACGGCATGAATCAGGTGAATTTGATACATCCCATGGAATTAGCCCAACATCGAAATCACATGATATATGCTGATGTGGGCACTAACGAGCCATGTTTTTCTGGACGAAATCATCAGGTAGCATGCACAAAGGAGGCAAGGTTGAGATAGCGCTTTGATTCTTAGCGAAATGCAATGGGATCTGTACACCCAGCACGGGAACCTTGGAAGAAACAGGGCTGATAAAGTATGAATTTTGTATGGGCGAGACACAATTAATCGGATGCGGCTAGTATCTCTGCATAAGAAACATTGCGATAATGCAAACACTCGACCTATTAAGCTGGGATAAAAAATGGGGACCGGTGTTCCCCCCAGCAGGTGTGGACAAACCAAAGTGAGGCTGGGCAAGCCTGGGCTGGTTTGGGTGGCTGGCGGGGCTGGATTTTGCTTGGTTGGGTTTGCCAGCTGTTTGTCATCAAGCAACCCTTCTTAACTGAATGGTGATTCGCAATAGCCCAGCCATCAAATGAGAACACTAAAGCGACTTGTTGGTTTCCACAAGTGTGCATGTTTGGCAAGCATGCATTCCTTCAGCAGAGTGTGGAAGGATATGAATAGGAATGGACAGGCCTGAATGCACGGGCCCGCATTTTCATTGGATTTGCCAATCATCCTTCTTGATGGGCATAAGATCATGCTGTCTCCATGCATGGCAGGCTGGCATGGGAGCAATGCGTCAACCAGCCAGTCAGCGGGCCTTTTGTTACGGGGACTATTTCGGTTTCCTATTTGAGCGCCTCAACTGTGCTCTACATGCGACTTCTTTGGCAGCGGTAACGACGGCGCTGTACCCTACAACCACCAACATCGCTTCGTTACAAGCAAGGTTTTTGAAAAAGTCCATGAGAAAAACAGTCATGTCTAGCCTTTTGATGGACAATCGAAAGCTTCCCTGCAAATAGGAAGTGCAAGCACGATGTCCAGCTCCTCTGAATCTCTTCTGCGGGCCACGCACCAATCCACCATCTCGAAGTCTATTCTCGTATCTTTGTGAATAGGATTGGGTCTATTGATGTCCATGCTCCACTGCGCATTCGAAAGGATAGGTCGGACGGATATTTTGAAGTGTGGAGGGGTCCTTCGTATTCGGGGGTAGGTTAGAATTTCGTAATATCTTGCGGCTTTTCATCACCAAAATGACACCCAAGCCAAAACAAAGATAGCTCCTTGATTTAAGCGCTGATGTCAACCGGATAAGTTGTTTTAGATGTTATCATTTGAACCAGAGGAAGGATGGATTTCCAGGGGCTGGGTGCATCGTCGATCAGTCTCACGACAATGTATGAAAGGGAAAAGAATCCATCCCGCCCCTGGACAGACCTGGAAAACGGCTTGCAGGGGATGGATTTCCACAACCAAAAACAGGATATATCTCCGCACCTGAAGTCGATCCTGCAACCCCGGCCGTTGCACAGCCAAGTTTTGGGAAATGTGTCGGAATTTTGTCTTGATGACAGTTTGGTCTAGTGAACTTCCAGAAAAGATCAGCTGAACATAGTTATGTTTAAACCAGAAACTTGATGATCAACATGTTTCATCAATGCCCATGGATCAGTAGCCGATTTCTCTAGTCCTTTCAAGAAAACAAGTTCTCGAAATTAAATCCCAAATCCCCACGGGAAACGACCTTGGGAAATAGGCACCATCAATCACAGCACAGCGTTCGGGCACCTATTATTTATTATAATTCTTTACCCGGATGAAAGCGCAAATTATTGAATCCAGGAAGGATGACAGCCGTAATTCTGCTTAATTTCCCTCTTCCCTTCCACCCTCGCTTCTTCCCTGCCATTTGTCGCAACACGAGAAATTGTACGGAGTAAACTGTCGTAATTTCTTCATGGTAGCCTAGTAACCGTGCCATGCTTACTCACTCTCTCTAGTGAGTGCGCCACAGCGTACGGAAAACCACACCATACAGAAAATATTATCAATATCTTCATTCTTCATCTTCAAATAATCATCATTAATTATAAGCATGTCTAAATCTTCTAATTACACTGAGGAGCAGTTGCAAAGAGCTATTGACATGTATAAAAGCAATTCAAAATTAAAAATCACATCTCTGTCACAAGAATTCAAAGTCTTATATATTATCTTGTATGAGAGGATCAACAGGAAGAAATCAAGAACTATGAGAGTTTCACTGAATAAAGCATTGAATGACAGTCAGAAAGAGATAATTAAGATATAGATTCATCAGTTGAATATTAATTTTTATCTATTCACTATCAAGTATATTGAAGTCACTGTAAACTGCATGTTGAGACAGTATTATACAGATTCAGAGACTGCACCTCTCATAGTAAGTAAGATATGAGCATATCAATTCATCAAACATCTGTCAGATTATGAATAGATTAAGCAAAAGCTCATGAATTCAATACAGATGTCTTGTGAGAATATAAGCTTCATTATCAACTGATTTGATTGATATGAAGCTGTCTTCAATTAATATTATTTTTTTCACTGTGATATCTACAACTTTGATGAGATTGAATTTCAAGAAGAAGAAGAATGTGAACAGTGAGTCATAACCCTCTTAGAAGATGTAAAGAATACTCTTACATCTGATTTGATAAGGCAGTTGAACAAGATCTTCAAGAATAGCATAATTCAGACAGAATTGAACATGCACTATAAGAGTAAACTTGTAGATTATTATTAAGCAAATAGACATCAGATCATTAAATTCTTTCACAGACAGATGTAAGTAGATAGAGTTCTCACTATTAAGAATGCTAATTACAAGATTACAATCTGTAGAGTAGATGAGATGAAAAAGATATTTAATAAGAATCTTCAGTCAATTGAAATCAAATCTATAAAATCTACAGTTACTTAATTATAATAAGATAATTCTATAGAATCTCAATCTACAGTGAATTCTACACCTTCTAATAAGTATATAGATAATCTTTATGTTATAGATAGATGTAATAATGATTATTAATTAATTTTTGAAGATCACTATATTTAAAATATTTTCTGTACAGTGTGATTTTCCACACGCCAGAAAGCAGAAAACTTGACCTTGTGTCACGCTCCCGGCCGCGTCAAGGCCCCGCTGCGGTTCCACACGGCTCATCACTTTCATGCAGATGATTTTATCTCATTCAAACTGGTTTTCAATCACTCTATAATATCATTCAGATATATCATAGAAAGATCTGATTAATGAATATAAAAACCTCACTTCTATACAAGATCAGCAGATTACTTTTTCTTAATAATGAGATACTGCTGAGATATCACTTCAGCTATTCTTACTTATGAAATGAGAGAAAAGTATTCACTCATTATCTATATAGAATAGCTAGATACTGACTTCTTATTAAAAAAGTTAGTAATTCAGTTTTTCTTCTACTGAAATATATATAAGAGTTACTGTGTATCTTATATAATTTTCTTAGTATACTAAGTATCATATCTGTAATATTCTTGTAATAACTCTGTAGTCTATAAGCTTACTATTTAAGTAAGATAGTTAAGCTCACTTATACAGCTTCTTAAACAACTACTTCTATATAATATCACTGACTAGTTATCACTTCAGTTTTATTATATTACAATTTAAATTACTTAATCTGATTATAAGTTTGAATCAGTCAAGCTTTAACAGACTGATATAATCTTATATATCTATACTAAGACTAATCTGATCTCACTCTTTAAGAGAAATACTACATTATTCTCTAGAGTGTATATATCTCTATCTTAGCAGAAATCTGAGATTTCTGAACTTACTGCATATTTTAATATGAGCTCTTTAATTACTCTGTTATTATCACAGTCTCTACACATCTACATCTATTATGAAGATAGAGAGATTAAGATCAGAGATTCTCTGAGATATAAGAGAAATATATTATCTAAATTTCACAGCTTTATCTGTACTCTTGAACAGAAATTTCATCTTAATCTGAGTCAGTATAATACTTATGAGATATAAGTAATATACACTGTTAATCTTCTTGAAGACATCTCTGCAACTACTTGAGTTATTAAGAAGAGAGAGCTTAAGTATACTGATACTGTAATAACTTAAGAAGAATTCAAGAACTTTTTACTGAATTAAATTGAAGATTACTGTAATCACAGCTTCACAGCAGTGCAGCAGTTTAACTCATTATATTAATAAGATAATAAGAATTCTTCTGATTTCAATACAAGATTTGAAGAATATTAAGAGAAATTAACTCATAATTTAAATTAATTAAAAACATAGCTTTATCTCATAAAGCTGACTTATAAGATGCAGATAATAATATTATAATATCAGAGTTCATTAATTAATTACACTGAGCTTGTCAATCTGGCTTTTCAGATCTATTTAAATAATCAATTCTCTGAGAAAAAGATTAATAAGATCTCTTCTAAGTAATTAATAATAGAATCTAAACAGTGCTGTGACAGCTTCAGTGTAGAGAAAGTAAAGAAGAATTTCAAGTATTCTGATTCTTCACTCACTGTAAAGAAATATTAAAAAAGATTTGATAAAGATCTCTGTTTCAACTGCAGAGCTGATAATCACTATATCAGTGATTGTAAGAAGTTAAAGAAGAGAAGAAATTAAGAAAATATCTTCTTAAAGTTAACTTCTCTTCTGACAAATATATCTGTGAAAGATAAAGAAGAGAAAGAAAGAAATAATTAATAATTCTCTGTAAGAATAAGTACTCGCAGGCGATTATTCAGGTGTTTGCAGCTTGATGTGATATATACTGTTAACTACTAGAAGTATTCACAGTAGAAAGATAAAATGTAGAGGTTAAAATGTATAATAGTATTTAAGCTGAGTTATAAATAGTATTCATGAACTTCAGTCTATATAGTTGTATGTAGTCAAGAGTCACTAACTCTATTAATTATATAAGAGATAGAAATAAAGATAAAGAATCTGTAAGAAGTGAGATTTCTTACATATCTCTCTCTCTTTAAGACTTTGTTCATGAAGTCTTTCACTGAGTGACTTTATAGAATCAGCTCAGTACTGCAGTGATACTCACTAAAAACTCTTCATATCTATAAAAAAAACCTCAGTGAGAAAAAATCTCTTGTTACTATAAAGAGAAAAGAGTCTGTCACTTAGTTTCTTATTCTGTGAAATTCTTTATAATTTACAGATTCTTCTCTAACTATCACACAGATTTATCTTATATCTTTCATACAGAAGAATTCTGATTAACTTTTAATCATTTTCATGAGATTCTTGTATAATTATTACACAGATTCATCTTATAGATGAATCACTCTCTGTGAGATCATTCTCATTAAAGAGAAGTATTTATAAGTTAATCTTTCACTCATTCTTATAAATCATTGTTCTTTGACACTAGACTGACTGTGTGACCGTGTCTGAAACCAGGACTAGATTTTTTGATAGTCTCATTACCAATTCGACTGATCCCATTACATGGTTTTAACATTAGATAGTAGTCTCATACTGTCTCAGTGAGACTTACTGTCTACTCTTATCACATTTTCCAAATGAGATCATGATTTTCACTTCTCAATTTAAATTATTTTTATTGCTTTAAATGACTTTAAATCTCATTTGAGTGTTACCAAAAAGTGTTACTTTTTAAAAAATTAAAAATAGTCTAAAAAAAACCTTAAAATGTCTAAAAATAGTAACTTTATGTCAAGAATGGGACTAAATAGAATCAAATGAGATCACTTTCTCATTTTTTTCAAGTCATGGTTTCATTTTAAGATCTGATATATAGTCACTTTACATGTTTTTTTGATAGCCAGTCCCAGCGGGATTCACGCCAAGAAATGTATGAGATCAGATCAAATGAGATCAAATGTGAAATTCATAATCTCAGCGGCCAGTCTATTTGACACTGTAGAATTGTGAGGAATTTTTCATTCTTTTATTAACTCTGTAGAGTTGTAGAATCAAGATGTCTGCAGTCTGTAATCACTCTTTATAGTTATATAGAAAGATTCAGGCCTGTAATTTATAATTACTCTTTATTTACTAGAGTGATCTGACTGTTTCATAGAATCACTCACAGTGTAAGTAAATCTCTCTAGAGTAGTATAAATATTTCAGATCTGTTCATAGAATCTTATCTTCTTTTTTCTTTTTCTATAATAGCTTTCATCTTCACAAACTGTGAGTATTCTTATTTATTCATGAAGTGTTTTCATTCAGATGACAGAGAAAGAGTGTTTCTGATAATATCTATATATTGATTTAAGAACTTCTTAAGAATAAAAATTTTTTAATTTCAATATCTTTATAAATAATGTCTGATCACTGCTGAGTTTCTTATAAGTATCTCTGTGACTTCTCTGATCACTTTTTATCAGCTGATGAAGTATAGATATCATCACTTACAATAGTATCTTCACTTCTCTCAGTCTCATCACTGCATCTGATCTTCAGATTAGCAGTCAATCTCATATCTCTCTCAGATCAGTCTCTGACTTCAAGCAGCACAGTTTCTCTCTTTGCTATAAGTCTTCTTATAAGTAATTTCTTACAGACTCTAGCTGACAGTTCTTACAAAGCTTCTGGTATTGTCAGTGTCTTCTACAGTCTCACAGGCCTATAATTATCTCTTCTCTGCCTGTACAATCTCTGACCAGATATATGTGAATATATCTAGATTCTCTATCAATGATTCTTGCACTGCAGCGCATTTCTGCAATCTCATTATTAATAAGAGATAAGTTTTCAGATACTCACAAAATCTGAATAATTAAGATAATACAAATGTTATAAATTCATGATAAGAGTTAATCTGAATAAATGAGCTCTCTCTTCATATCT